TAAGCTGATTGGAGGTTAGGTGTGACAGAGAAGACTGTGACAGGTGATATTTGAACCATATAGGTCTCTAGGTGGAAGTGCCCCAGCTGGGGGGACACCATGTACAATGGCCCTGGGGTCGAGGATGCCCAGTGTGCATGTGTTGGGGCATTGGAGGGAATGAAGGAGGAGTGCTATAGGGTGTGTGTGTAGACTCTAGAGGCTGGGCTGGGGAGGAAGCAGCCCTTGGGGGAGCCCTGTAGAAATCCAGGTAAGAGGTGGTAGTGGCCTGGACCAAGTGTGGTAGAGGAGGCGGGAAGAAGGCTCCAAAGTAGAGGAGAGAGCATTTTCCTTACGTTTTTTTCCCTAAATTCTGTAAGTGCAGTGAGCTCAGAGGGATGGATGAGTGCATATTCACAAACCTGTGTACCTTTATGAGTCAAGGCCAGACTACCCAAGTCAGGTCTTGGGGGATTGGGGGGCAGGGGAGGTGGGAGATGAAAAACCTGGGGAGCCTATTAAGACTGGGCCATTAGATGTCTTGTGAACCCCTTAGGTTGGGGGGACCAGGCTGGTGCACCCCATGGGCAGCTGCATGCAGATGTCATTAAAAGGGAAAGGAGGCCACCTAGAGAAGTGAAGGCATAAGGGCTGAGCTAGTGGAGGGGTGAGGGGAGCAGGCAGGGATAGGGTCCTGGGCCTGCATCCTGGGTCAGATACCACCACTGAACAATCGGGGAGGGGGGGAGGGCAAAGGGGAGATGTGGGAGGACCTGATGGCTGGCAGTATCCAAGCTTTTCGAGCCAGAATGCCCCCAGGGCAAGACTGCAGCCTCTCTGTCCCTATTCTTACCCCTACCTACCTGGATCCCCATCCCATCTCGCTCCCTTAACTCCAAGCATCTCACCCCCAGACTTTCCTGCTTCCTGCAGTGACCCCCAATATGAGTGAGGGCCTGGCCAGACCTCTCTCAGCCTCTCTCCTTGCCTGGGGGGTGGGGTGGTGGGCAGGCCTGTGCCTGTTGGCTCTTTGATGGATGCGGGGCTGGCATATGCAGACTACTCGAAGGCTCAGGAAGCGTCTGGGAAGGAAGAGAATGATAGGAGTGAGTTGGACAGGTAAAGGAGGTAAACCTGGAGGTCACGGGGCTGGGAAGGCTGAGAGGGGTGTGATTACTTGGCGGAATCCACAGCCAGTCTTCAGGAAGACCCACACTTGGAGCAGCGTGTCCACCATGGGCTATACCCCTGTATACCCTGTCCCTGTCGGGGGCTGTCACAGCTCCTTTGGTGTGGTGTGAGGTGGGACAGCTGTCCTGGCCAGTCCCTCCGATGCCCGCCTCTTGTCCTTCCCTAGCACGGATTACCTTCCAGCCCACCAGGGAACTCAACTGCTTCCTACTATTGCTTCCCTGTCTCCCTGCAAGCAGGGAGCCTCCAGGGGTACAAGCATCTTTTGTGTTCACTGCACAGAGAGGTGCTGGGCTAATGCTGAATGAATGAAAATGGATGGGTGAAGGAAGGGGATCCAGTGTAAGGACAGAACCCATGGGGTGGAGCAGGGTGCAGGGGCCAGGACAGAATGGCTGGAACTGCCTCAGTGAGGTCTGAGAGGAGCTGCAGAATGGAGGTGATCTGATAGGGGGCGGGTATGTGAGGATCAAGAAGTCTGGCTGGGAAGGTGGGAGAGAACAGGAACATGAGTCAAAGCCGGGTTATTTTAGGATGGGGCCCTCAGCCAGGGAAGGGTAGCCAGCTGAGCAGGGAGGCGTACTGAAAGGGCTTCCAGCTCAGGCCAGCCCTTGGGGAGCCCCCCCACCCCAGTCTTGGATCTAGACCCAACCCTCCCCCAGCCCCTACCTAGGGCCTAGATAGCACTGGAAGGGTCTGGTAACTGTGAAATGGATGGATGGGAAATGGGTGACCCCAGGAGGTAGGAAGTTGTTTCTCTGCTTGCTGGTGGAGAAAACTGATGAGAGGGGGCATGGGGGCTGAGGATGCAGAGGCTCTGAAGGTGGTGTAGAGGGGCCGGCCTCCCTTTGTGGCCTGTGGAGGACACTGCTGGTTGGAAGGTGGCCTGTGTTCTTGGGGCCTGCAGCAGCCAAGTTGGTGCATCCAGGGGTACTGGGCACTGTGTTTCCACGAGGTAGTGCCATGGCAGCCGAGTGGCACTGCAGGCCCCCCTGCCCCTCACCTACCCTTACTTCTCCAGACTCCCCCTGGAGGGCTGGTATAGATAGGTCATGGCTACCAGTGGTGGATGGGTGCTGATCTTGAGAAAGAGAGTGGGGGTCCAGGGACACCTGGAGGAAGAAGACTTCAGGCTAGAAGGTCCCTTTCTTTCCCTAGCAGACAAGACTGGAAGGAAATTAGGTATTGAGCCCTGGCCACATGGTCTAGGGTACCCACTGAGAGATCCCATCCAGGGCCCAGTCTAGAGTGACATCCAAGACTCTGTCTTCTGGCCAGAAGACCTCCCAGGGACAGAGGCTATTTTGGGGTCTCATCATTGGCAGAATGGGGCCAGGACTTGGTCCACGAGTTGTTGAACTGAGCAGAATTTGGCTTACAAGTCAGGGCAGGGACTGTTGGGAGTGCTGCCTAGAGGAAGGGCTTGCAGGTTGGGTATTGATGGATATGTAGGAGTTAGCAGGTCAGCAACTGGTGAAGCCATCATATCAGGGTGGGAGAGATGTGGAGGGTTGGGGAACCAGTGGGGGGCAGTGAGTGAGGCTGGGGTTGGTGTCACAAAGGGCTTATGGAGGCCTCTCCTAGGGACTCTTGGAGAGGGGCTGCAGGGATGGCTGCAGGCTCCGGAGAGCCTGAGCCAGCCCCCACCCTGCCTGCCTGCAGGTTGGCGCTCTATGTGTACGAGTACCTGCTGCACGTCGGTGCCCAGAAGTCAGCCCAGACCTTTCTGTCTGAGGTAAGCCAGCCTTGCCAGGCAGAGCTCCCCCTGCCCCAGCTGGGCCCTTCCTTACTCCCCATACCTGGCGTTTTCTCCACCTTCTTCCCATTGGGGCTCCAGTGGTGGGATTGCGTTGTCCCTCTGCTGGCCCAGGGAACCAAGGGCTGGGCCGGGTCAGGGTCCGTGGGCTGGTGTTGGGGCATCTGTCTAGGCATCCAAGGATCTGTGCCTACTTCTCCACCCCCTACCCAGTTATCCCCCGCCCAACACCCTTGCTCAGGCTGCTGGTTCCCTGCTCCCCAGGCACCAGGCTGGGCTGGAGCTGCTTCAGGTTGGAAGAGGTCAGGCAGGGCCGGCAACGGTCCCCCTCACTGTATTGCCTTTCCCCTGCAGATCCGATGGGAGAAGAACATTACGCTGGGGGAGCCCCCAGGCTTCCTGCATTCCTGGTGGTGGTGCGTGTGGGGCTGGCCAGGGTGGGCCATGGAGGGGGGCTGGGTGGGGACGCATGGGGAAACCATCGTCCCCCCACCCCTGCCGCCCACAGCGTGTTCTGGGACTTGTACTGTGCAGCACCCGACCGCAGAGAGGCGTGTGAGCACTCAAATGAGGCCAAGGCCTTCCAGGACTACGTGAGTCCCTGCCCCAGGGATCCGGCCCAGGGCTCATGGGCATGGGCCGGTTTCTGGGCCTGTGGCCTTGGGGGCCTGCATGGCCTGAGGCTGGCTTGGGTGGGCAGGTGGGTCTGGCATTGGGGTTTGATCTAGGATGTTGGCCACTTCTGGGGAGTCCCTGTGCCCTCTACTCAGTCTAGGATCACTCACAGGGTGGGGGAGGCTCCTTCAATTGCATCCAGCTCCTGAGCCACAGCCCCGCTCCCCCCTCTTCCCTGCACCTTCCTGAGGCCAGCCCCCACCTCTCCTCCTCTTCATCTGAATCCCAGGGGGAACCAGGAACTCCTACCTTCCCATCTGCCCAGCTGGGTGTATGTGTTGGGGGTTGGGGCCACCACTGCAAGTCCCCTCCTACTCCAGCCTTTCTGACGGGGGTGGAGGGGGGTAGGGGGAGGTTGGCTAACTGGCACGTGTACCCTTGAGCAATAGAGGCCCAGCCCTGGGCACACTTCCTGACTTTGGTGACGGGCTGTTGACCCCTACCTTTTTGGCCTCAGTTTCCCTCCTAGTTGACTGGAAGTCAGGGGCCTGTCAGGAGAGGAGAGAGGATAACATGAAAGGGCTAGTGGCATCTTGTCAGGGGAGCAGATGGCCGCCCCTGCCTTTATCCTCCTGGTCCTGGCTGTGGGGCTTGGCCCCCTGGCTTCTCAGAGAAGTCTCTGGCTGGACAGGAAGGGCTTGGGGGCTCTGGGCTCACTGGTGGGGTGGGGGAAAGCAGCAGCTCAGCTGGAGTCCAGGGGTGGTGCTGCTCTAGGGAGTTCCCCTCCCCCTGGTGCACCCACTCTCCTACAGCTGGCGTTTTGTCTGCACCCCACTGGGCCCCCTTGGGCTTCCTGGGCTTGGCTGTCCCCATCTCACTCTGCAGTTGGCCAAGGTCAGGCACTGCCTCCCCACCTAAGGCTCCCCCACCCTGCAAGCGAAGGCCTCTGTAGAGCTGGGGTGCAGCTCATAAGAGCTGGGTTTTCGGGGTTTCAGTCCCTCTGCAAATGTACGCTGTGCAGGGTTGCCGGGGTCACACTGTTGGTCCCTGTCGGGTCCCACTGCCCGTGTGCCATCCCTCTGTCCCTCTCCTGCCAGAACTGGGGCTCCAGGGGTGTCTGGAGCTGCCTGCGTGCGGAGTGACTCCGCATGGGTACTCACTCCCAGTCAAGCCTTAGCCCCTCCCAGCCTGTGCAGCGCCCCCTTCCCTCCCCACCCCTACCGCGGCCTCTAGCGGCCTCTCGGGGCCCCTCTGGGGAGGGCAGGAAGGCGAGAGCGCTGGGTTCTTCACATTGACGGGGGCGCGCTTCCCGAGAGCGCGCCGGTTACCATGGCTGCGGAGTACATTGGGGAGCCGGTGTGGGCCCAGCAGGCGTGGGGGGCGGGGGTGGGGGGGGAGCGCCCTGGCCCCAGGATGACGGGTTCCCTGAGGCTGCGGGCGCACATCCTGCCCGGCAGCTGCTCTGACGTGGGGGGAGCGCCGTGCTTGCCTCGCCTGTGGGTGTAGGGGGGGGAAGGCCTCGGAGTGGGGGCTCAGTTTGCCCCTCCTGGCTCCACAGCCGACCTCAGCGTCTCCAGGAAACGCTCGGGCGCCCAACCCGTCGTCATAGCAACGCGGGAGGGGCCAGGGCGTCTAGGGGTGGATGATTGACGTGGGGGGTCTAGCTCGGGCCACCCGCCAGGGAGGGTGCGCCGGCCGGGTATTAACCCTTCTGGGCCTAGAGTTGGGGAGCTGCAGAGGCTGAGGGGTGCCTTATCTTCTCCCTGCCCCCACACCTTGTAGGCAACCCAGAGAGCAGCTGCCCCCCCTCCCCACCAGGAAATGCTCTGGCGCCTGTTGTGGCTTGAAAGGGGGGGGGGACTCCTCTCCCACCCTCCCTGCGGTAGGTTGAGGGGAGTGGACAGACCGAGAGCTCAGAAGTACCTCCTCCAGCCACTGAGGCAGGCACGAATAGCTGCTCTAGGTGTCAGGCTGTGTGTCTGTTGAGGGGACGAGATGGAGGTAGGAGGAACCTGGCAGTTTGGAGGGGGCAGGGTGAGAGCTTTATCCCCTACTCTTTTTTTTTTTTTTTTCAAGATTTTATTTATTCTTGAGAGACACACAGAGAGAGGCAGAGACACAGGCAGAGGGAGAAGCAGGCTCAATGCAGGGAGCCCGATGCAGGACTCAATCCCAGGACCCCAAGATCATGCCCTGGGCCAAAGGCAGGCACTCAACCTCTGAGCCACCCAGGCGTCCCTATCCCTTACTCTTAGGGTCTCTTGGACTTTCAAAATGTTGGTGCTGGGCCCTGGGAATGTTTTCAATCACTGTAGGCCTCGGGAGGTGCCTGCCCAAGCCTCTGGCCCAGCTTGGGGCCTGGGCAGGAGTCCTTCAGAGGCTGATCTTTGAGAAGGGGCAGGAAGAGGGGGCAGCTTGCAGTACCCAAGGGGAAGGGTATGTCTTCAGGGGTCCTTCTCTGACCCAACCAAGGGACCCTCTCCCCACTTCTGTGGGTCAGGAAATGCTGTGTGACTGTGGGCAAAATGCTTAACTCCTCTGAGCCCAAGTGGCTACAGTTTCGCAAATTCCTGAGCATCCCTGGGTGATAGCTTGTGCCAGTCCCAGGGATAGCAGTGACCCACACAGACCATACCCTTCCTCTTGAATCCTGTCAGGGGTGGAGTGGGGGTAGATGATCCAGACAGGTAAGAGTCAAGGGGCCCCCAGGGAAGTACTCTCTTTACTCAGTCCTTGCAGAGTTGTCCTCCTTCCCTATCCTTTGATGTGTCCCCTCTGTGCTGTAGACTAGGCTTCCATTGCCCTCCTCCCTGCTCTGTTCCCAAAGGCAGACAGGTCTGGGACTTGGAACCTACCAGAGGAAGTGGCCTGTCAGCCTGTCCCCCTGCCAGCTCTGGCCTGCCACCAGCATCTCCACCCTCTGCTGACATGGGAACTCCCCTGTCTAGCACCCGGTCTTCTCCCCTCCTCCAACTGAAGAGAGGTTGGGAGCCTGGAGACCCCACCCCAGTAGTCCTGCTCTTCCTTCCACTCCCTATTGGAGGAGGAGGGGGAGTGGTCTGCACAGCAGCTCTAGGGAGGAGCCCTCTGGGAGGGAGTTTCCTCTTGAAGCTGCCAATTGATTTTTGTGTGTTTGGGGTGTCTTGTGTCCAACTGGGAGTCCAGCTAACCTGCCTTTCCAGCCAGGAGGACATAGGGCCTGTTGGGATGGGCCTGGAATCCGGGACAATGCTCTCACTAGTCTAAGGTGAGATTCCGATGGAAAGAACAAGCCTGTGCCGGATGCAGGAGGCACATGCTCACTGGAGTCCTGGCATTTTCAGACCCCCAGAATCCTCTGGCTTGGGACTGACTCCTTGAGGGTGGGATCCTCAGGTCTCTGGCCTCCTTCCTGGGCTGTGGACTGTGCCTGGCAGGGTCTCGATTACATCCAGTGTCTTGGGTACAGCAGAGGGACACAGCCTGTGTCCACACAGCACATCTCAGGAGGAGGCTGAGTTAGGGTTGCTAAAACCAGGGCGGAGCCGGGAGGCTGCTCTTCCTTTATCTAGAGAAGCCTGCAGGCATCCTCACAGGGGCAGAGGATCACATGGGCCAGGTCCCTTGTTCTGTGGAGTGGGCTGCTTGCCGAGAGGAGGGGACACTGAAGTAGGAAGTGACCTGACCTGGTCCCTCTGGTCTCCTCCCACCCCTCACAGAGCGCTGTAGCGGCTCCCAGTCCTGTGATGGGGAGCATGGCCCCCAATGACGCAATGGCAGCGGGCCCCATGGCACCCGGATTCTTCCAGGTACAGCCAGGACTGGTGCCCCACCCCCCACCCCCATTCTCCAACTCAAGTGGGCATGTGTTGGAGGGTGACAGGTGTGGGCGATGATGGGGGTGGGTGAGTGCTATGTGGGGAGAGGCCCCGCCAGGTGGGTAGGTGGATTATTTGCTTGCAGGTCTCAGTGGCGCCGGCAGGGTGGGCTGTTTGGGCTGGGCCCGCTGCAGGAGAGGGCCGGGTCTCCATGTGGTTGGCCTGTGCGTGCTTGGTTGCTAAGGGCCTCAGAGCATGGCTCTCGGAGCCATGCAGCTTGCCCATGATTGGTCCCCTAGGGTCCCTCACCCCAAACCCCGTCTTCCACTCGGGAAGTGCAGGGCAGGCCCACCCTCACCTCCACGGTGCCCTCTATGGCCAGGCCCAGCAGGGCCACAGAGAAAACAGTGAAGCTTCAGTGGACCTCGCTCCTCCCAACCCACCTGGTTCTGTCCTCCTAGGGCCCCCTCGGCTCCCAGCAGCCCCCCCACAACCCCAACGCCCCCATGATGGGGCCTCATGTTCAGGTAAGGACCTATGACGCCCTGTCCCTCCACACACGCACATCCCAGCAACTCGAGCCCCCTGGCCCCACCGCACTCATGCACCAGGCACTGGCTGGCTGCGGTTTGCTGGCTGGTCCTGGAGGAGGGGGCTGTCCAGGCTGGGGGCCCGGGCGCCGCAGGGACGGGGTAGCTTTGGGGGGGTGAGTGGGTGGTGGGAGGTGCTGATCCCCGGCCCACCTCTTCCAGCCCTTCATGTCACCGCGGTTCCCAGGGGGCCCCCGGCCCACCCTGCGGATGCCGAGTCAGGTGAGAGAGGGATGAGGGGAGGGGGGGGCAGGAGTTGGGCCAGGGTGGGGGTACCCACTCTCAGTGCTGCCACACCCCCTCTGCAGCCTCCTGTGGGCCTCCCTGGCTCCCAGCCCCTCCTCCCTGGCACCATGGAACCCTCCCCGCGAGCTCAGGGTGAGTACAGAAGCTCCAGCTGCTGCCGCTCCCCACCCAATAGGACCCCAGCTCCAAGCTCCATGTCCCTGCCACCTCCTGGTGCAGAACCGCCCCCATCCAACCCATGTGCACACGGGGAAGTGTTACTGGCCTGAGCCCCCTTCCTTCTGTCCCTGCCTCAGGGCATCCAAGCATGGGCCCGATGCAGAGAGTGACACCTCCACGGGGCATGGCCAGCGTTGGACCCCAGGTGAGGGCTGGGTCCAGGAGAGGAGGTGCACGTCAGGGGCTTCCCCCAACACCTTGGCCTGCACTCACAGCCCTTTTGCTTTTCCAGAGTTATGGAGGTGGCATGCGGCCCCCACCCAACTCCCTTGCTGGCCCAGGCCTGCCCACCATGAACATGTAAGGCCCGGAGAGAGACCCCTGGAGTGTGCCCATGTGGGCCACCATTCAGCTTCGTAGGCTCGCTCTGCTGAGGCAGACTCAGTCTGCACTACAGTTCTGCTGGTTTACTCTGCTGTTGGGTGGGGAAACTAAGGCCCAAAGGCCAGTGAGTGATAGGATGGGATTTGCAGGTTGACCAGAATCCATCCAGGGATGCATTACCATCTCAGCCAGTGTCTGCTGCTCTGCGGGCCTGTTTGAGGGGCACATGGGGTGGGGGGGAATGTCACAGAGTGTGTAGTGGGGGGCTGTGTACCACCTGGCCACACCCCAGGGTCCACCTACTGTCTCTTCCAGGGGCCCTGGAGTGCGAGGCCCGTGGGCCAGCCCCAGTGGAAACTCGGTGAGTGGCAGGCTGGCCGGCCAGGGGAGGGTGGGGGGTGGGTCATCAGGGTGGGGGTGCAGTGGGCCGACTGCTCATGGCTGCCGCTCTCCCCAGATTCCCTATTCCTCCTCCTCCCCTGGCAGCTACTCGGTGAGTGAGGCTGTGGCTGGGCCACTTGAGCCAGGGGGCAGGGGTGCTGGGTGGCAGATGGGGGCTCTTTCTCACCTGCTCTGTCTCCTTCCTTGTGCAGGGACCCCCAGGAGGAGGTGGGCCCCCTGGAACACCCATCATGCCCAGTCCTGGAGGTACTACAGCCTGGGCGGGGTCCAGGGAGGGGTGTGCTTGCCTGGAGAAACCCTCACCGCCCCCCATCACCTCATGCACCAATATCTTCCCTAGACTCTACCAACTCCAGCGAGAACATGTACACTATCATGAACCCCATTGGCCCGGGTGCCGGCAGGGCTAATGTGAGTAGGGGTTACAGGGTGGGGGCTGCGGAAGGCGGTGGCCCCGTGGGGGATGGGGTGGCTCCAGTCCCACGCTGCCCCCCCCCCCCCCGCCCGCAGTTCCCGCTCGGTCCTGGTCCGGAGGGCCCCATGGCGGCCATGAGTGCGATGGAGCCTCACCACGTGAATGGATCCCTGGGTGAGTGGGCGTCCGCAGACACCCGCCCCCCCATGCCCCAACACCGCTACCTCACGGGCCTTTTGCGCCCCCTGGTGGTTGGTCCTGCCCGTCTCCCTGGTTTCTCTGGTGGTGTCCCTGGTGGAGGGGCCGCGATTGGGGGTAGGGGAGGAGGTTCCAATAACTAAACCCAGTGTGCCAGCACTGACCCCCGTCTGGACCCTCCATCTGGGACCCCCAGCGGCGCACCAGTGGGCTAAGTCTTAGGGACAGGGCGGGACAAGTTCGGGGAGGTACGGGTGACCCTGGGGCTGGGGGAGGGGAGGGTGTTGGTATGGGCCTGGCGCAGGCGCATCTGAGCTGCGATCCACGGTGTGTCGTCCGCAGGCTCGGGCGATATGGACGGGTTGCCGAAGGTGAGGAGCCGCGCTCCTGCGTGGGGCGGGGCCTGGGGCTTCTGGGGTGCGGGGGTGCGAGCTTGGCTAGGGCTGTGAGGCCTAGTCCGGGTTGGGCCGAGCTGGGGTGGGCAGGGCCTGCCCCGCGGGGCGGGGAGTACTGCGCTGACCGCAGCCGCCCCCAGAGCTCCCCCGGCGCCGTGGCCGGCCTGAGCAACGCCCCGGGCACCCCGCGGGACGACGGTGAGATGGCGGCCGCCGGGACCTTCCTGCACCCGTTCCCGAGCGAAAGCGTAAGCGACTGCGTCGACTCCCCCCCCGCGGCGGCGTCGGGCCGGAGGGGCCTGGCGGGCAGGCCCCGGCGGGGCGGCCGGGGGGCCAGAGCAAGACCGTGACCGCGGCGGGCCAGGTGGGGGGGCGGCCGCGGCATCCTTCCCCTCCCCTCTACCCCCTACCCCCCCCACACTCCCGCCCTAATCTCACCAGCCTGCCCCCCGTCCCAACCCCACTCTGGGACCCGCACCCCAGGGCAGCCTCCCCATGCATCACCACCTGTCTCTTCCCCTCCCTCCGCCCCGCCCCCCACTCTCCCCTGGGGGGCGGGTCCCAGCCTAGGCCGGAGCTGAGCCCGCCTCCGCGCGCCACCCCCTCGTCTCTCCGCAGTACTCGCCCGGGATGACCATGAGCGTGTGATGGGGCAGCAGCCCCTTGCCCACTGCCGGCCTCGGCTTCTGCCCAGTGCCCCTCCCTGCCTGGGACCAAGGTCCAGGGGCTTGGGCACTCTGCTGGGTGAGGGTCTGAGGTCACACCTTGGGTGACTGTACTCCATCCAGTTCAAGGATTGGACAGCTGGGAGGCCCCGCACGAAGGACTCTCATTTTATAAAAAAAAAAAAAAAAAAAGACAAAACAAACAAACAACAAAAAAAAAAACGCAAGGACCTCAGAGACTTTCTTTCCTTACAGGCCCTACCTGCCATTTCTATTTTGTCCCAGGGGGCTCCTTGGGGACCTCCTTTCCCCTGGACGGCAGGGGTGGGCCCCATCAATAAATGTAACTTGGTTTTGGTTTTTGGTATCTGGTCTCAGATTTCTTTGCTTGGGCTTGCAGCCACCATCTCCTATCATGGGGTTAGATAGAGGCCTCAGGGTTCTAGAAGTTTCAAGAGTTGGGGTATCAGTTTCTGAAGGGTAGATAGATGTCTCCCATGTGAAAAATGGAGATGGAGCTGGAGTTGGGTGGTGGTGGTTAGGGTTAGGTCGTACGCAGGTGCTGTGAAAACCCACAGGTGATGCTGGGGCTGATTGTAGCACTGGTTTTATTGTCTTTAGGGTCTTGGAAGGGTTGGGTCCTGAGGGGCAACAGAGGCAACAGTTTGGTGGGAAAAGGATGGCCATGGCCTTAAGTGGTGGGCATCTGGGGTGCCTCAGCCTGCGAGTGCCCATTGGCATCACCCGTACAGCCATTGGGGGCAGTTGGCGCTGGTCCTTTCTTGCAGGGCACAGGGCAGGCAGCAACCATAGGCCCCACTCGCTTGAGGCCAGGGCGCTCCATCTTGTGCTCCAGAAGCATGTGGTTCTGTGGGGGGAGCCCCACACAGGCCCTGGGGGAAATGTCGGGACTTAGTTGGGCCAGACCCGAGACCAGCAACCCCACAGCCTCCAGTCCCTAGCGTCCCTGTGCATAGCCCGCCAGTGGACATTTGGGCTTGGAGGGGGACCCCGCAGCTGGAGGCACACCTGAGGATATTCTCGATGCAGCTGCGCTGGCGGAAGAGCGCATTGACCACAGGGCTGCCCGGCGGCACGAGTGGCGCCTTGAATAGGAAGCTGAGCAGGGACAGCACGGAGTGGAAGCCCTGCGGCTCTGGGTCGGCATCGGTGCAGAAGCTCACGCGCTGGCACAGCTCGGTCAGCAGCACCAGGTCCAGCATGATGGGTGCGGCCAGGAGGGAGTCCTGCAGGGCCGGTGGGTCAGAAGGTGGGCCGGGCTGGCGGGCAGCCCCACTCCTGCCCCGGCAGGCCCCGTACCTCACAGGTGTTGTGCAGCACCAGCGTGTTGGTGCCGCCCAGCATCAGCTCCGAGGTGTACTCATCCAACGCGCGCTTGCTGTCGCCCACGTATGGCACGTACTTGATGACCACCTGGGGGGTGGCAGGAGGTCACAGGGGGTCCGCGCCCTTCTCTGTCAGGGGCCCTTCCCTGCCCCCTGGCCTCCGCACCCCACCCCCCCACGGCCTATGACCCACGTACACAGTGGTCGGGCTCCTCGCCGGGTGCATAGAGCACAGGGTTGCTCTGCACCATGTCGTCTACCACGCTGCTCTTGGACACCTCCTTGGAACGGAACTGTGGCGGTGCTGACAGGTTCTGCCCGTCATTGTTGCCCAGGTGGTTGTAGCTCACGATGGACATGGTCTGCGGGAACAAGGGGCCCCGGGGGCAGCTGCAGGCCCCGCAGTGCATGCCAGCCCAGCTGCCCACCAGCCTGGCACATGGGGTCCAGGCCCCCCCCTCCTGAGCAGTGCACCCCCCAGGCCCACGCACCTTGAGGCCAGAGCCGATAAGGAAGTCCACCAGCACGGACTTGACTTTGGTTTGGCCTGACTTGAAGTCATCTCCACCCACGAAGACACGTCGCTGACGGGCGAGCTCAAGCGCCCCAGGCACCAGCGTGTTCTGTGGGGACCCGTTGAGGAAGGCACAGCCCTCCAAGATGCTGGCCACAGCAAACAGAGTGGAGGGCGACACCTCCAGGCCCAGCTGTGGACATAGGCGGGTGGTCAGCATGGAGAGGTCCTTTGGAGCTGGCCCTGACCCCTCTCCAACCCTGAGGGCCGCACACCTGGATGGTACGCAGCAGGTTCTCAGCAGTATCATTGAGGCCGGGGATGACTTCGCAGAAGCGCTCCGTGTTTGCGGTCCACAGCACGATGACTTTGTCTAGCCCAGCACTGGATCGGAAGTCACGGATGTCCCTACGGATCTGCTCCAGCTGGGCAGGGAGGGAAGGAGGTTGTACAGGCCCCTCGACCTGGGGAGGTCTGGAACCGCAGGATGGAAGCGAGGAGACACATGGACAGTAACATGGGAACGGGGGTTGGGGTGGTGGGCGATGTCAGGGAGCAACAAGTGGCAAGGGATAAAGGGCTTGGGGCGGGGCCGCACCTGCTGTGCGCGCGTGCCCAGTATGAGATTGTCAGCTCGAACACTCTGGTTGGCTGCGATGAATTCGGGGATGTAGACGGAGGGCCGAGGGCGCAGAGCCTCCAAGTGTGGCCACAGTTGCTCCTGCAGCCCCCAGTCCAGCACCTGTGCACGCCTCATCGCCTCAGCCAGGTTCAGCGACGATATGTCCCAGCCTGGGGCGGGGGAGGGGGACACCCCCAAGCTCAGCCCGGCCCTGAACACGGGCCCCTCCAGGCCCCGCCTCCCACCCCAGCCCCCTGCCTAGGGCCCCGCCCACCGTCGAACACGAGGTCGTCGGGTGCCACCATGGGCAGCAGTGCGCTGAAGGGCACGAACACCTCCTGGCCCTCGGCGTCCAAGCCCAGGCTAACGGTGCCCGCCTGCGTCAGCGAGCCGTAGTAGTTGGCCTCCTGGGGGGCGGCAGGCGGGGCGGAGTGAGGCGGGGCGTGGCGTGAGTCCCTAGCGGGCCAGGGCCCCGCCCGGCAGCCTCAAGCTCCGCCTTCTGGACGCCGCAGCTCCGAGCTCCAAGCCGCGGCAAAAGCCGCTTCCCCTTCGGAGGTTCCCCGCACCCCTGGGAGCCCGCCGGCAGCTTAGGCCCCGCCCCCTGAGGGTCCCCTCCTTCGTAGAGCTCCGCCCCCTAAGGGCCCTTCCCCCCCTCCCCCTGCACAGAGGCCGGCCCAGCCCCACCCGACCCCCCACCTTGCGGCCGGTGCGCGTGGGCCAGGACAGGCGCAGCCGGTTGGCCAGCACGGCGGCGGTGAGCGTGGAGCCGTTGTTCCCGCCCCAGCCGACGAGCATGACCCCGAGCCGGGGCACCTGCCGGGCGGTCCGAAAGGTGAAGCGCGTGGACGTGGGGTACACCTGGGGGCGGACGGCGCAGTGAGCCGGGGGCCACAGGCCCTTCCCCCTCACTGCAGGGACAGGGTCTCCGACCTTAGGTAACTCCCGTCCCTACCCGCCACCCCGGGTCCCTTGCCCACCTTGAGGAAACCATCCTCGCGGCTGACGCACGTCGTCCGGTACTCGTACTGAGCCTCGATGGCGTCGGGGCCGTAGACCACGTCGGGGCTCTCGACCACGAACTCGGCTGTGGCCTCCATCGGGGAGAGCTAGGGGCGCAGGTTGGGCAGGAGGTCAGCGGGGACGCGCGAGTCGGCGGAGCGAGCCGACCACGGTCGCCCGGAAGCCCGCACTACGCCCGGGCCCGCACTCACCGGCGCGGAGTCAACTCGGACTGTGGCGAACGGCGAGGGCTCGGGGCGCGCGAACTCCAGAGAAAAGAGCCGCGGCCCCGCCCACGCCCCGCCCCTCACCCCACCCGCACCAGGGAGGAGGGGCGCGCGGGGAGGAGGGGCGCGCCCGCGGGCATTCGGAGGATTCGGGTTCAAGGCCCCGGAGACCCGAGCCATCACTGCCCTGGGGCTCCCGGACAGCCACGTGGGCCACGGACCCCGGCCCGAGCACGGGGCGCGCGGATTCGCCTTGCGCCACAGCCGGTTAGGGCGCGCGCGGCCGCTTTTCCTCATTTTTACAAAAGAGGCCATTAAGGCTGCGAGCGCGCGCCGGGCCAGGCCCAGGCACTAGAGAGGAGATGGGGCTGGGCGGGAGGGCTGGCACCTGGGCCCGAGGTGCTGCGGTGGGGGCTCGGCCCCAGACGGAGCCAGGACTCTGACTCCAGAGCCAGGCAGGCACCCCTGCGGCCTCGGCCTTTCCCCTTCCAGAGCAGTAGTACCCACCAGGCACTCCGGACCGGGCTGACACGGTGCGCGGGGCGCTGCGAGGCCTCGGCTTCCCTACCTGTAGCAGGAGGGCTGGCAGGGCCAGGCTTGAGGGGGCCAGTGTTCGGTGGGTGAGGAGGGGTGGGGAGGGGGGGCAGGGCCAAGGAGGTCAGCTGGGGAGGAGCTGGGCAGGCACAGCACTGCGCCCCCCTAGCACCCAGTGATAAGGGAGCGTGGGAACCCGGCGGGCGGGCGGGGGCGGCTCCCCCAGGAACTTTCCAAAACAAGCGGCCTCCTCCGGCTGGAAAGTTTCCACCACTGGAGCTGACCCAAAAGGTGGATAGTTGGGAAGGCTCGCAGGAAACATGGTCAGGGCCTGGCCTTGGGGGCTGGGGGCTCCAAGACTCCTGTTCCAGGCATCGCCCTCAAGGGACTCCAGTGTGGGGGAGCCGGAAGTAGAATGGGGCACCCCTAGCCAGAGGCAGCACACAAGGAGGGTCTGGCAGGGCAGGTTGCCTGGAGGAAGTGGTTGCTGGAAGGGGTCTGGAGATATGAAGACATCGCCTATCAAGAAATATGAAGAGCTGCCCAGGCAAAAGCCTGGGGAGCGGGCCCAGGGGCCGATGACGAGGTGGCCAGGCGGGAGGGGAGAGGAGCAGTTCAGGGTCAGAGCAGCCCCTCAAGGCTGCGGACAGAGAATATCACGTAATAAATATTTTAGTTTTGTCCCTGGTTTCTGGCTGGAGATGGCGCTCAGTCGCTTAATGGCCGGCGATTTCATCATATCTAACAGAGCCTCCCTAAAAAGCCCTGGACGGCATGGGGCTGGGCGGACCCACGGAGGTGCTGGGAGGGTGGCACACCTGGAGGTGGCGGGGCAGCCCAGGGCCGCTCTCCACACTCCACCTTGGGCCGTTGCAAGGGTTTTGCTGAGCAGTGAGCCATTCTGACAAACCTAGGAGGGAGCCGAGGGAACCCCGGATTTACAGCCGGTTCCTTGGCAGTATGGGTGGCCAGAGACCAGGTGTCTGAAGTGGGTGGAGTCTCGTGGGACTGAGCCCTTCACCCGTGCGGTGTGATGCGTGCTCCAAGAACCGGAGTACACTTGGGGCCGGGGCCCTGGAGCGGGCCTGCGCCAAGTGCCAGATGACCTGGGAACGTGTGCAGAGAGCAAAGGCCCCCTGGCCCAGCCCCGGGGAACCCTAGCATCTGCAGGGAAGTCGGGGTGGGGTGGGGGTGCCAGCAGAGCCGGCTCCCCAGGGGAGCAGGGCAGGAGGCAGCTGGGAGGGACGGGCCTTGGGCTGCTAGCAGTCAGGTGGGCACCATGTAGCAACTGCGGGGACCGCCGGCGTATGTGACACAGGGTGACTGTGCTGCTTGGGAGCAACTGGGCACCCCTGTCCCCACCATAACACAGGCTCCTGAGGGCAGGGGCAGGGCTGTCTTTGTCCCGCTGAGTGCCAGTGCCCAGGTGGAGCCCAGCACACAGGAGGGATCGGGGTGCTGGTAGGATGACAGCTAGGGACATTGTCCAGCAAGGGGCACGAGTGGGCAGCCCCAAGCCCTTGGGCCATGGTACAGGTTGTGAGGTTGGGGGGACCTTTCTGAGGCCCCTGGGGGGCCTGGATTTGTGGCATCCTTGGCTCGGGAAGGAGCTTGATGGGACCCCCTGCAGCTAAGGTGCACTCTGCGAGTGATGGCCATGGGTGCCTCTGGGGGGTGTGAGGGGCTGCAGGAGAGTTAGTTGAAGGGCCTGGGGGGCAGGTGGGCAGGGCAAAGGTGAGGCATGATGCGGTTCGAGGAAGCACACACTAGCCCTGGACCCTGAACTGTGGGGATAGAGATGTTATCCCCGAAAGGAACAGTACAGCCAGGCTGCCTGGGGCGCAGGGTACACTCTGCCCCACAGGGCCTGCTTGACCTCGTCTCCTGTGCTCCTTGGATTCCCCGGCCACCTTCGGACTTGGGCCAAGGCCGCTGGCCAGTGGGGCTGTTCAGGAGGTGAAGGCCCGCAGCCCCTGACCCCTGGACCCCTTTCATCCCAGGCTTATTCTTTGTCTGTTTTTCCTTTCTAAAATAAACACCCACCCACACCCCGTCCCTCAAGAGCAGGACCCTGACCCCTGCCTTCCATCTCCTCACCTGGAGCATGGGACAAGGACAGCCATCCCTGCTGGCATCTTGGGGCCGGGGGATTCCACTGGGCCTCAGCATCCCCATCCCCATCATGGGCACAGGGGCAGCCCCAGCGAGCCGGCCTAGTTGGAAGAAACAAAAACTGTGCCATCACTGCCGTTTCCCCCAGTCACAGCTCATTTCCCCAAGGGAGGGCACTCCCCTGGCCCCAGGGGTCCCTACTACTACTGGCGCCTTTGGCACTTCGGAAGGCCCCTGCTCCTGGACCTGGTCTACCTGTCCGCCCCTGGGGACACAGCCCTGCTCATAACACCCAACCGTGGCTCCCCATGGCCTCCACATCCCACCTCCATCCTTGCCTACCTATGACCAGGCGGTCTGGCCTCATGCCCTGGCTTGGGCAGGCCCCATCGCCTCAGCCTGCCAGCCTCACCTGGCCGCCTCCCTGCACCCCCGCCCCACACCTGCTCATCACCACGGCTGCTCCAGGGCCCAGTCTTCTCCTGACCCCAGCCCACCCCCCCCATGAGGCCAGGAGGCCCTGGCTGGGATGGACACAAACACACCCAGGCACTTGGGGCTGCTAGGTTTGGTTCAGTGAAATTTATTGTATGTTGAAAAAATCAGCATTCACCTGTTTAGTGTACAAAAAGGACACTAGTTCTTTTAAGAAAATATTAGGAAACTGAAGACGCGGATGCCTTTTAATCGTAACATTTTGGCAAAAGTGAAAAGTTCTTGTAAACACCAACTCCATGGCTCAAAATAGTTTTTCTCCACAGTACAATATTAATAGGGGGGAAAAACACAGTATCAATAAGTTAGACCATAGTTAATCAGCTAGAACTTTTGTCCATCAACCCCCAAAGCACAAAACTTTTCTTAGCTTCATAATTCCTTAAAAGGAGAAAAACAACAACAAAAAACAACAAAAAGCCAACAACAAAAAGGAAATTCAACTGAGAGTCCCTTGAACTGGTTCCCAGGGCAGAGGACCGGGTCAGCCCTCTGGCTGCAGCCTCCTTAAATAATCCTTCGGCCGAGTCTGCGCGTCCAGCTGAGTACAGTCTGCGCACACCACACGGTTGTCTGCAGAACTCGGGGGTCCCTGGGGTCCGCTCAGCCCTTCCCCCAACTCCATCCCAAATGAAAAACAAAACAACAGCTATTGAAACATGAAGGATGGGATCCCTTGGTGCTCCGGGCACCCCAGGGGGCCCAAGGAAGGGGCCTGTGGGATGGGGTGGGCAAACTGCAGGTGCCTCCACTTGGGCACTTGCTCTTTGGGAAGCCATTAGGAGGCAGCCCCATGGCTTAGAAAAATAGACACGTCTACCTGAGCATTCTGCTCTCCCCGCCTCACTACTGTTGGCGGCAGTACCCCCCACCCACCCCAGTTTTTGAGCCCCAGGCTCCAGGTTGCAGCCACTCCCTCCGCCTTCCCCAGTCCTGGGTGGCTTTGCTGAATGTGGCCCTGAATGTGGACATACACTTCAGGCCCCACTGCACCCTGGCAGCACCCCCTCACACACACACACACATACACACACACACACATGCACGCACGCACATATACACGCATGCATGAGCGCGCACACACACGCACATGCGTGTGTGGTCCCCCGACACTAGACTGGGGGGACACTAGACTAGGCACAGCTACTAAGCAGCAATTATGTTGTCCATGGATCCCATGCTACCAGAGTGGGCGGATAGGGTGCGTTTTCTGAACTTGCTCTCGGGGGGGTCCCCTGACCCCAATGACCCCCAGCCCCTCCCTGAGTGCAAACCCTGTGGTGGCTCTGCTAAGATGACCCCAAGACCCACAAGCAGACTGAGGGATGGAGTGAGGTCAACAGCATGGAGACCACACGGTCTCGGCGCGAAAAGAAAAGCAGCAGCAAAGGGGGAAAATTGAGAACATAATAAAATAAAATCCGACACTGTTGTTGCAGCGTGAGCTCGTAGCACAGAAAACCCCCAGTGACCCCCTACAGCTGAGGGACTGAAATAGCAGGGCAGGCCTGGTGGGCTGAGAGCTGTTCTGCCCCTGCGGCTCTCAGCAGCTGCTCAGGGCCAGCTGGAGTTCTCGAAATAGACCTGGGCGGGCCTCTACCCCCTTAGAGCAGACCCCGTCCTTGCCTAGGCGGGGAGGAGAGGCCGGAGTGTAGGGAGGGCCTGGGGCGGGGCGGGAGCCGAGCAGGCTGTGCCCCCCTCTCCCCCTCGGTTCCCTCCTCAGTCCTCAGGAACAACTTTCAGATGGTATCTGTAATACTGCAGGAAGGACACAGGGCGGCATCTGGACCCTGGTGTCCAAGGAGGGGAGGCACAGGTTTAGAAAAGATGCTTTCTCTCTCATACAAAAATAGACTGAAGTCTCATAAGCAGTAGCTAAAAGTGGCTGCTTTTGTATAAAACTAGAAAAGGCAGGCGGGCTGGCCTGGGAGTCTTTCGTGAGGGGAAGCTGAAGCCCCTCGGGCTGTGATAGGGTAGGAGAGGAGGTGGGCTTCCTGAGGAGCCCATCCCAGGTGTGTGTGGGGGGGGTGGGGGGGACGAGACGCCTGGCCCCCGGGATCTGTGACCTGCAGGCATCAGGTCTGCAGGGGCTCCCCTGAAAGCCGCGTTGCTGGCTCAGATGAACATGTCTTCCTCGGGTTTATTATTTTTTTTAAATAAATCTCTTTTTCCGCTCCGTAGCTACCCCCCCACCCGCCCCCAGCTCCCCCCACCATCCAGAAGGGTCAGCCCGGCAAGGGGAGCTGGCCTGGCTAGCCAAGCAGGACCTCCTGCCCTGTGGCCTCAGGCTAGGGCCAGGCCTGCAGCTGCCGCTGGTCATACTCGGCAATGAGCCTCTTGATGTGGGCCAGCTTGCTGTGCAGGTACTCGCAGCGGTGCTTCTCCTGGCTGTAGTTGGTATTGGTCTGCAAGAGAGTGGCAGGGCTGAGCCACATCCTACAAGCAGCTGGCATCCCAGAGCATGGCCATACTGCCCTGCGTGAAGCGTGCCAGCCTCGGGCCAGCTTAGGCTCCCCCTCCTCCTGCCTGTAGGCCAGTGCCCACCAGGAATGACAAGGACCCTTCCTCTACCTCAGGCCAGAGCCTAGGCCTGTCCCTCCCCAAGCCTCATCCTGGGAATCAGGGTCACTGCCTGGATGAGGGTCAGAGCATGGCCATACTGCCCTGCGTGAAGCGTGCCAGCCTCGGGCCAGCTTAGGCTCCCCCTCCTCCTGCCTGTAGGCCAGTGCCCACCAGGAATGACAAGGACCCTTCCTCTACCTCAGGCCAGAGCCTAGGCCTGTCCCTCCCCAAGCCTCATCCTGGGAATCAGGGTCACTGCCTGTCATGAAGCCTCCTTCCCGGGCTGGGGCCTGGCTGGCAGAGAAATGCCCTGGCACATGGGGGCACACATGTGGTGAACCCACAGCTAGTGGCGTTCGGAACAAGAACTGATAGAGCCCTGAGGAGGCATTCCTGCCAGACCAGCAGCTGGGGGTGGGGAACTTCAGCTCCTCCCTTGACCAAGGAAAGAGCTGGAAAGATCCTGGGGGCTGCACCCACCAAGGAGGGGGAGTGCTGGAGGGTGCTGGGGCACCAAGGGAGGGATGGGCTGAGCTCCTCTGCTGTAAATGGGGGATTGGGGCACAGGAGCTGCTCTGAGGACCTGAGACCCCAACCCAGGCAAGGCTCTTCCTTCCCTCTATCCCTTCCCTGACTGCAGTGCTGCTCACCTTGAGACAGCTTAGTCTGACCCCACCCCACCCCCCACAAGGGTGGAGACTTACCTTTTTGATTTTTCGATATTCCTGCAAAATCTGACCCCGAGTAGTCTGGAGGAAAAACAAAAGAGAAAGCGAACAATGTCCTTGCCTGCAGGAGACCCCCACTGAGTGACCCCTTCTCCCCTGATAACCTGTGACCTGCAGAGTCACCACCAGCCTTGAGACAATAGCCTCAGCATGGCCTGAGAGAAGCTGACCAAAGTAAAGACAGTAGCCCAGGCTGGGGTGGGGGTGGGGGTGGGGGTGGAGGATGAGTAGGGCAGGAGGTGGGGGAGGATGAGCTGGGCCAGGGGAGTGAGGGCCAGGGACCCAGCCTCAGGGACAAGCACAATGGCAGCAGAGTGGGAGGGGCTGGTCACAGCTGTGGAAGGGAGGAGGCAGCCCTTCCAGTGTTCAAGGTCAAGCAAAGAACATACCCCCCCACCACTCTCCCAACCACCTAGGGGTGCAGGGGGATACTAGGGAATGTCCATGTGGGGGCTGCAGAAGGGAGGAGAGCGAGACCCCGGGACTCCTCAGAGCCCTCATCACTTCTTCAGTTAGGAGCTGTTTCCTCTGGAAACCAAAGTGGACCCCACGAGGGGAGGCAGACCCAACACTCCAATTAATCAGACTAGCTGTGAAGGATGGCATGAGGGAGGCTGGTGAGCAAGAATGGAGCTCCCCCTACACACCCCCACACTGAGCTCCCAATTTGGACTGGCTTAGGGAACCCATGTGCCTTTGATCAGAGGGTGAGGGACTCCTAGTAAGGGGGCCACGGGGACTCTGCAGCCCCTCCCCCTATGGCTCTGACAGCATGGATGGGCTGTGAGCTGCAGAGAGGACCCCAGGCACTCCCATGTGACCCAATCCTGTAGGGCCTGGCTGTTTCAGTTGCTCTGAATACCACCCCTGCCCCAACAGGTCATCTCCCAACTGCAGACTTGGTCGCCAGTGTCCCCATTGCACGGGAGGCTGAGCTGGGCCTGAGAGCCTGTGGACTCCCAGCCCTGTGGATGGACCCAAACCATGCCAACAGCCAGGGACAGCTGCCTGGCAGGCTATGACAGGGAGAAACACTGGCACAGCGTGGCAGGCCTTTTCACCTGGGAGGGGCAGCGGCCAGGCTCTGGGGCCACGGGTGGGGTTGGAGGCCTTGGGTTTGGCTGCACCCATGAGAAATGGGCCTGTCTCACCCAGGTCGGGTGCAGAGTGCGGGGATGAGTGCGCATAGCATGGGGCTCTACCTCATATTCCTCAGAGCCCTGGGAGAGCTGCCGGAGTTGGGCATCCAGCTGCGTGAAGCGCCGTGTGATCTGCTCAATGCGAGCGTGCAGGTCGCGGTACTCGCTATACTCAGCATTAAAGTCATTCTTGTAGCTTTGGCGCTGCTCCGAGGAGGAAATGGTGGCATATTTTCTGAGGAGAGACAAAGAGGGGTCGGCGGGGCTCAGGAGGCTGCTGGGGAGAGGCTGGAGTGCCCATAGTTGCGTGGCTGGCCCACCACCCCCAGGCCCTCACCCTGTGGGTGACCTCCTGGCTTCAGCAGGAGCCTGGCACTAGGACGGGGGAGAACTGTTGAGAATTGTGAGAATTCCCACACGAAAACATGAAGTCAGTCCTCCCTCTGCTAACCTGCAGTGCAGGGGAGAGTGCAGGGCGGGGAGAGGGTGGGAGGCCAGTCAGGGAAGTACTCACAGCAAGTAGTCGGGTGTCTCTGAGGTTGATGTGGGGACGCTTGAGCTGTTGCAGGTCCCATTCAAACCTACAAAAAAAGAGCAAATGCACACCACCTTCTGAGCCCATACCGAATTCTGTAACAGGTCTGTTATCTGCAGGACCTGGAGAGATAGCAGAAGGGGGTCGGGATGGGCAGAGGGAATCGGATGGCCGGGCTGGTGCCACCTCAGGAGCCTCACTGGACCCAGAAGCAACGCAGCCAAACACAAGGTGTGTCTCCAAACCACAATCCTGGGACGTGTAGAGAGTCCAGATGTGGTGCATGCACATTTTCAGCAAGCAGCTGCTAGGACAAGTTAATCACGGGGCCAGCGCCTGGACAGCCTGTCCAGAGCTGGACCCACCCAGAGCCCCTGCTGCCTCCACTGACTGCATGTAAAAGGCCATTACTCTGAAAACAAGCAATGCCCTTGCCCAACCAAGTCCTTGGGGTGTCCTGGTCTCTGGCCTTGAGGCTGCCTGGGAAAGCCCTTGCTCCTGCCAGCACCCCAGGCCACCCACTAGGTGGAACCGGAGGACACGAGACGGTCCACAGCGCTTGGGGTGGGGGGTGGGGGGTACAGATGACCAAAACCACAATCTAGTCTATTTCCCAGGGGCTTCCTTCAGGCAGCCTTTCTTCCCGGCACAGAAGAGATTTTATCACTATGCAGTGCATTCTCAATACACACTGTGTCCCCTCAGATGCAGCCCACCTGGGAATCCCTGTGCCGCAGGACTCTCACCAGCGGATGGAGCACACCTCTCCCACCTCTTGGGGCTGCAGCCCAATGAACCCACACGTGACAGTTTAGTCCATGCTTCCACCACATGTGCTTTGCATGAAGTACACCTTCCAGAGTGTTCTGCTGTTTGTGGGCCCCATCAGTATCACCTCATTTAGCCCTTTTGAGATCTTCGCCAGGAAGAGACCAAATAGGGAAACCAGGGCTCGCGGTCACATTCACCTGGCACCTAAGACACCTTTGGGTCTGGCCTGAGGCAAACCTCAGAGGCCCCCTCCTGCTGCAGCTCTGGCTGTGCATGGCCCTGGCTCACAGGCCTGGGCCTAAAGGGACTCCTCCCCACCTGCCCCTCCCACTGCTCCTCCTGTGCCTCCACCGGGGCCTGGCTCCCGTTGGGAGAAGGCCCCCTTTGGGAGAAGGGCCCCCCTGCTGCCCGCAGAGGCCAGTGGGCCCGAGCTCAGGCTGGCTGAGATCCACCCCCCGCCAACCCCAGCACACCAGCCCTCCTGCAAAGGCACGCCGAGGCAACAGGAGGGCCCATGGACTGAGCAGGAGCGCGGCTCAGGCACAAGGATGGGCAGAGGACCCAGGGCTGGACCCATGGCTCAGAGTGATGGGCAGCCTCAAGGGGCAGGGCTATGGGTTCAGGGTGGCAGCAGCACAGGGGAAGCTGAGTAAGAGCCATGAGCCCGGCAGGCGGGGGGGGGGGGGCACTGCATCTGTCTGGGGCAGAGGCAATCACGGGACGGGGCTGGGACAGTACTGCACAGAGGAGGGGCTTCAATGGTGTCCCTCCCCTATGGGACACGAAAGCAAGGATGCTTCCTCACACGCTGACCTGAAACCTTATCCAGTGTGTCTGAGGGAGGGGCGTGGTGCACAAAGAACAATGCCATTGTTAAGAGAGGTGGTGGCTCCTGCTTGTGTGGCTGCCTGCACAGGCAGCACACAGCACCCCAGAAGGGGCCTCTGTGCTCGGCCATTACTGTTACATCTGAGGCTCCTGCGAGACGCAGATCAAGATGAATAACGCAGTATTTAGTGCCTAGTTGTCCTTATCTTTTCCCTTGGGCCACCTATTCCCTGGTTTGCCAAATCTCACTTTCTCACCTTAACCTAGGGACAAGATACCAGGCAATTGGCACTGGGCAGGATCTGAAGCTGTCTGAGTGCCAAGTATGCTCCTCCTTCCCTGGGCACTGCCAGAGGAACACAGGGCCTTGCTTTCACCATTTGGGACAGGACGTGCTGCCTGGCTGGGCCTGCTCAGGGTTTGTCTCTCCCGGCAGGATCAGCTCAAGGGAACCAGGCCTTGCCTCCACCTGGCTGCTGCCAACACCTGCCCTCCAGTCAGAGGGAGGGGCTGGCAAAGGCCTTTCTGGAGAGTAGTTGAATAACTCATTAAAAAAGCCTTAAGGAGAAAGCAACTCCACCCTTTGCCCTAGGAATGCCTCCTGCTCGGATCCTTCCTGGGGAAATAATCTGAAAGGGCAGCAAGTTACATAGCCTGAGACTGCAGGTGGCAGGTGCAGCTGCATCTTTGTGGTCACACCATGCTGATTAAGTTAACAGCCACATGGGGTGTTCAGCTCAGGCGCCCTGGGCTATGAACTTAAGGTGGCCCAGGCTCTGGGGGTGAAGATTCCTCCTCCCACCCCAAGCCGGTCTGTCCATACACCTCTCCTGGGTGTATGGAATGCCCCCCCCAAGGGTTCTCAGGCTCAGCACGCAGCCCCAGCCAACCTTGCACCCCTCATCCTGCTGCTGTGATCCCAGATCTCTCGACCCCCGGCTTTCTCACCTGCTACGTGACCTCATTCCGACTCCTATAGCCTGCTGTTATATGGACAGCTTCCCAAACCCAGTCTCCACAGGCTGAAAAATTCACTTGTCAGCAGACTACACGAGGCCCTGTGGCTCCAAGTGCTGGTCTTCTCCAGCCAGGTACTGCACCCCACTGCCTTCTGTGAACCCCAGCCCCATCCTGCTCCCTTTCAGTGTCTGGGACCTCAGGGCAGCCAGAGCTGAGCCTGGAACTAGTTGCTCTCCCGGTACATGGTCGCCTCCCGCGGACCTCAGCTCAGTCCAGTTCTGTGCTCCTGGCACTGACCTGGCATAGCAGGACCGCAGAAGGCTCCAGGGCACAGACAACCTTGTGTTAGAAGACAAGGTGCAAAGGAGCTGAATGTGCAGGGTGTGCCAATATAGGGGTTCATGGGGTGGTGCAGCGCCCCCTGCGCAATGGTGGGTGTGGACTGCAGCTCAGGCTCCTAGCAGGGTCCTCCCACAGAGTCCCTGACCCCAGGCCTGCCTCCTGGTACCTACCTGGGGCATCTGGTGGGGCTCCAAGGGGGCTGGGCATGTGTTCTGGCAACCGGGCCCGGTGTCTGTCCTCAGCTGCTCTCTCCTTGTCTTTGTGCTTCTTGGACTTCTTCTTGGATTTGCTGCGTGATGAGTTACCATGGGGCCTGCTGGGCTGGGCACAGTCCGTCAGCAGGGGCAAACTGAGGCATGTAGTTGGGGCTGGGGCAGCCACTTCCCCATGCTCGCAGTCCCGGCCACTGTGGCCCAGGTCATTGCTGACATCAGCCAGAGGGTCATGGGCCCTTGGGGGCTCCAACCGTGGAGGCAGGTGGGCATCTGTCCCTGCTAGCAGGCCCGGAGTAGGCAACAGGGCCTCACGGCCATGGGGTGCACTCAGCTTCCCATTGATGGCAGGCTGAGCTCTCTGGGTAAAATGTGATATCCTGGGTTTCTTGCTGGTCAGGCGGTCGATGAAATCAGGAGGCTGTGTTCGTTTCTACAATGGAAGGGAAACAATTTTAAAAGGGAGACTGTGGAGCCACTGGTGTCTCCTGAGAAGTGGCTGGGGAGCAACAGGCTGACCCTGGAGCTCATGAGGCCTCAGGAAAAGTCAGTGCCTGCCTGCAAGGCCTCCTCTGGCCACAAGGGGGCACACTGAAAACAGCCAGGCCCTTGCTAACCTAGGCTCAGCCCACCCTGAGGACGGATCCAAGAAGGGGGCAGTATCAGCCAAACTGCCCAGCCAAGTACTCAAGTAGGGCCACCTCCGGGGACTGGTCTGAAACATCTCAGCATTCGGCATCGTTCCTAGATGATGGGAATGGTGACAGAACCAAGTCTGAAGGATACAGGGCAGCCCCACAGGCTGGGACTCCCTTCCCACCCCCTACCAGACCCAGGACTACCTGGATCCCCAAGGCAATCCTGTGACATGGTACAGGCTGCATCCCCACTTCATAAGTGAGAAGGCTGATGCATGTGAGGCAAGGCCAGAACACGGATAGCCTGGTCCCTGGGAAGTGGCTTGAGAGAGCAGGACGGTAGGCGGCAGGCCCACCATCAGGGGGAAGCAGAATAAGGAGGCTGTTAGCCCTCTACTTCGGCCCCAGAGCCAGGGCAGGCACAGACCTGACCTCTCCACAAGGAGGATTCAGGGCCTTGGATATGGGCTGGGAGCCTCCACAGCAAAGGAGAAAAGGGAGGTAAATTAGGGTCTTGGGATGAGGGCCTCATGAGCCAGAGCATACAGATGGGGCCACCTGAGCACCCTCCTGATTATTCACCAATTCGGCAGTAGCCACCACTCACAGGGCCTGTGCCTGCAGCTGGCACGCTCGATTTTATGGAATCTTCATGACAGTCCCAGCGTGTGCATCTGCTGTGCCTGCCGTGCACAGAGCACAAAGCTCAGCGTGTTTTGGGAGACTGCCCTCCTTGCACATACCTCTCACAAGTACTCGAGGGAACTGCACCAGGGAACCAGACCCAGGTCCCCAGTCTGGGGAAAGCCAGGCAGTTGCTCACTCACTGAAGAAAATACCCAGCTATGAGCCACGGATGCAATAGGCTGCCCAAACACTGAGGTCAGGTCTGGCCCGCTGGCTCCTATCCCACTTTCCTCCCTCACAACTACCGCCGCCACCGCCAGCAACGTGTTGTCACATCCTTGCCCAATGCTCCTACCTGAGGGGGTGAGGCTGAGCTTCCATGTTCCCTGGGAGGACTGGTGGCAGCAGGGTCTCCAGGGAGGCCAACTGCACTCTGTGGCTGGCACAGCTTCCTACGAAGGAGATGTAGGGTAGTTGTAAGGCTCCACAACCAGTAGGGCACTGCCAGACCCATCTGCCTTTCCACTGACACCATGCTGTCCCACCTACACTCAGTGATTTGGAGTGGGCCCTGCTGTCGAACCAGAGCAGGGTTGAGTACACGGGGTAATACGGGACACGGCTGGCAGAGGGCAGCTGAACACATCCCACCCTAGATTTATCCACAGCCTGGAGGACTGCCCATTTAGTGTCTTGTCGCACCCAGAGAAGGGTCAGTGGACCTCCCACTCATCTAAACACGCATTACTGTGGAGACTAGGGACCCAAGTAAAATTGACAAGATATTCAAGCTCTGTGCTATGTCCCTGTGGGAGCTGGGTACACTAGGGCACTGACCTCTCCTTTTGAAAGCAATCATTCATTCCAGGGGTGCCTCGGTGGCTCAGTTGGTTAAGCGTCTGCCTTCAGCTTAGGTCATGATCTCAGGGTCCTGGGATCGAGCCCCACATTGGGCTCCCTGCTCAGCAGGGGAGTTGGCTTCTCCCTCTCCTTCTCCCTTTAACCCTGCTCATGTGTGCTCTCTCTTGGTCACTCTCTCAAATAAATAAAATCTTTAAAACAAACAATCATTCATCCTAATAATAATGCTTACTGCAGAAACTTCAGAAAATGCCGAAGGGGATTAAGATGCACTGGCACAAAAGGAAGACCTCCTGGATTCAGAACCTACTTTCCTGGGAGCCAACATTACAATACCTCCTTAAGGATAATGGGGCAGCCACTGGCCTACCAGTACCTGAGCATAATGATGCAGGCGGGGAGAGGGAAGAGACACTCCAACACTCAAAGGGCAAAAGGAGGCCATACTAGTGACCGTGGCTTGTGGCCCCTCTCTGATGCACCTCTCATAGTCCCAGAGGCTGCAAGTCTCATGAGAACCCAGTAGCCAGCCTGGTACTGGCTGGTGCGTGGTGCCTTGGGTGCTCCATACCCTGCAGGGTCTGGGGCTGCAGGGACCATGTCTGCACGGACCTTAATCAGTGATGAGCAGAGCAGACCTCCTTGATTGATGGCCATATTACAAACCACTGCTGCTGCCCCCTCTATGGTGGCCCCAAATGCAAAGAGAGCCATAGAAAAAAATGTCTGCAACATGCAAGCGCTCACCCGGGTAACACAGTACATGTGGCCAAGATGGGTACTTCAAGTTTGCTGGCCAGCCACATAGAAGTAACCAGAGGCATTTACATCTGCTCTTTCTAGGCTCCACTAAAAACGCTTGAAGGAGCAAGGGGAAAAGGGAGCAACACGATCTAATGCTGAAAACAGATGTGGTGACTGACTTGTCCAAGAAAATAGGGCCCCAGGCCACAGAACCTCATGGGCCTGGGGTTAGAGTCTTAGAGACCACAGTGAAGGGGCTCCTGCAGGGCTGTCCCCACTATGCTCTGGGGTTGTGGGGAAGGAACCCAGTGTGTTCAGGAGTGAAGGAGCCCAGCCTTCTCTAGAAGGCCAGAAGGCTGCTCCAGGCACACCTGGACAATGGGATGGACAGAGGTGTGGCCTCAGAAGACTGAAGAAACAGAAGGGCCCATAGAGGGTTCCAAGAAACCTCAGCGGCCCTCCTGACGAAATGGAGCCACTCAGAGGAAAGCCTTGAAGGGCTGCCCCTGGGCCTCCAGGTAACACATGTCAGGGCCCAAAAGACAGAGACAAGAAAATGCATTTTAAAGAGAAGACTCTATAAGCAGATGAAAACTTTAAATCCACAACAAAACACCAGCCTTAACATCCACAGAAAGACAAAGGACTCAAGTAGACATTGCTCCAAAGATACACAAATGGCCAATAAGCACATGAGAAAGGGTTCAACATCATTAGTCATCAGGAAAATGCAAATCAAAACCACAACGAGATATTACCTCATATTCACTAAGAGGGCTAGGATAAAACCAAACCATAACGGAAAATAACAAGTATTGGTGAGAAAGTGGGGAAACTGGAAAACCTCTTTGTGTGCTGCTGGTGGGAATGTAAAAGGGTGCAGCTGTTGTGGAAAACATTTTTGGCAGTTTTTCAAAAACCTCAACTCCGCTCCTCCTTCTACACTTGAGAGAACTAAGAATCTATGTCCATACAAATCCTCGTACACAAATGTTCACTCCTAGAAGCACTAGTTGCAATCGCCAAAAGGTAGAAACAATACAAGGGTCCATCAACAGATGAGTGAATGAACAAATGTGTGTGTATATCCACACACAACAGATTACTGAGCCACAAAAGGAACACAGCCCTGATACATGTTACAACCTTAAGAACAGTACGCTGAGTGAGAGAATCCAGTCACAGTAGGCCACATGCTGTATGATCCCACTGATATGAAACATCCAGAAAAGGCAAATCCATAGAAACAGAAAGATAAGTGGTTGCCAGGAGCTGGGAGAGGGGAATGGGACTATCTGCTAATATGGGGTTCCATTTTGGGGTATGTGCTCAGGAATTAGCTAGAGGTAGTAGTTGTACAACACTGTGAATGTAGTTAACACCACTGAATTGTGAGAAAGACAAATAAGGCTGGAGGCATCACAATCCCAGATTTTGAGATATATTATAAAGCTATAATAGTCAACACAGCTTGGTACTGACACAAAAAATAGGCACATAAGTATTAATGGAACAGAATAGAGACCAGAAATAAACTCACACATACATGGTCCATTAATCCATGACAAGGAGGCAACAATATACAATAGGGAAAAGACAGTCTCTTCAATAAATGGTGCTGGGAAAACTGGACAGTTATATGCAAAAGAATGAAACTGGACCACTTGCTTTCACCAGACACAAAAATAAACTCATAATGGATTAAAGACCTAAATGTGAGACCTGAAACCATAAAACTCCTAAAAGAAAACATAGTCATGTCTTGTATATCAACCTTAGCAACACATTTATGGATGTGTCTCCTCAGGCAAGGGAAACAAAAGGACAAACAAACAACTGGGACCATATCAAAACAAAAAGCTTTTGCACAGCAAGGGAACATCAACAAAACAAAAAGACAACCTGATGAACAGGAAAAGACATGTGCAAATTATATATCTGCTAGGGGATCAATACCCAAAACATATAAAGCACTTAGATAACTCAACACGAAAAAGCACAAATAATCTGATTTAGAAAAGGACAGAGAACCTGAAGAGACATTTTCCCAAAGACATACAGATGGCTAGCAGATGCAAGACAGATGCTCAACATCACCGATTATCAGAGAAATGCAAATCAAAACCATAAAATATCACTTCACACCAATCAGAAAGGCTAGTATCAAAAAGACAAGAACTGAGGTGCCTGGGAGGTGGGGGGGGGGGCGGTTAGTCGGTCAGTTAGGCATAGGCCTTTGGCTCAGGTCATGATAGGGATCCTGGGGTTGAGTCCTGGGTTGGGCTCCCTGCTCAGTGGGGAGGCTGCTTCTCCCTTTCTCTCTGTCCCTCCCCCTGCTGTGCTCTCTCACTCACTCTCTCCCATTCTCTATTTATAAATAAATAAAATCTTTAAAAAAACAAAAACAAAAAGAACTAAGTGCTGGCAAGGATGAGGAGAAAAGGAACCTTTGTGCCCTGTTGGTGGGAATGCAAATTGATTGCATTGTGGAAAACAGGATGGAGGTTCCTCAAAAAGTTAAAACAGAAATACCATATGATCTAGTACTTCTATGACTGGGCACTTACACAAAGAAAACATAAAAGATGAATTCAAAAACATATAAGCACCCCTAGTTTACAGTAGCCAAGATATGGGAGCAACCCAAGTGTCCACTGATAGATGGGGATGAAAAGATGTGGAAGACAGAAACAAAGGACCATTGCTCGGCCATATAAAAGGATGAGATCTTGCCATGTGCAAAAATGTGAATGGACCTAGAGGGCATAATGCTAAGTGCAGTGAGTCCTACAAATACCACATTATTTCACTTATGTGTGGAATCTAAGAAAGAAAATGAATCAAGAAACAAACAGAAACAGACTCAAGTTCAGGGAACAAAACTGGTAGCTGCCAGAGGGGAGAGGCATGGGGGGGGATGGACAGAATAGGTGAAGAGAATGAAGAGGTACACACTTCCAGTTCTGAGATAAGGAAGTCACAGGAATGGGCACCCGAGGTGCAGCACAGGGAATGTAGGTGATGACACTGTGGCTGTGGTGCAGTAACAGATGGCGACTACGCTTACTGGGGTGAACACTGTCCAACCACCTGCCGCATGCTGGAAACTAATATGACGCTGTATATCAATTATACTTCAACAATAAAAATTTTAAAAATAAAAATAACATCACCTCCATGGAATAACAACGTGATGCTACACAAAACACGACCAAAGACTAGTAGAAACCATAAACAATGGCAAAGAAGAGATGGGCTGGGAGAAGTTGAAGAGAGTGACCACAACAATGGGTAATACCAGAAGGCAGACAGTGTGTGGAGCACACCCCACGGCCCATGCCTCCCACATCCCACCCCATGTAATGGGGCACAGGAAGCCTTTTCAGGAGCGCACACAGAGTAAGAAGAAGGATGAGCTGAGTTTTCAGGCTGTGAGGGCAGACGCACTCACCCCTGAGCACCTGCCAGGTAACCCTGTGACCATGCTGACATGCAACCTCCAAGCCCTGGGGTCCAGGCCTTCCACATGAAGGCAAAAGTCCTCGGGAGCTGAAGGTCCAGACCTGGCCAACTGTCAATCCGATTTGACCGCACTATGGCAAAGGGACCTCCTGAAGTTCTTTCCTCAAGAGCTGCAGCCCTTGGGCACCAAGGCAGAACTGCAGACCCAGGAATGGGAGAATTGGCAGGAGAGGGCAGCGACTCCTGGGGGAACCTGCAGGACCTGTGATCTGCTGAGAGTGACAAAAGGCCATGGGACATCGGGGGAAGTTTGGAGTTGGATGTGAAAGACAAGGAGAAGTCAAAGCAGAGAAAGTAACAGTAATATAGGTTACCAAGTCCATAGAAAGCACATGTGATGGGGCTGGTGGCCATGGCTTGGCATCTGGTGCAGACACCTGCCCTCGGGCAAGCAAGGCTGGGACAAGTGCAGGTGGCGGCGATGGCATTGAGGGCAGTGACTATAGGGCTGGGCACAGCTGCCGAGGCCTCATCCTGCATTAGACACCTGGGACAGACAAGCCTTAGCAGCTACACACACTGGGAATTGAAGCACAAACGATCAAAACAATGCCGCAAGAGGGTGTCTGAGCAGAGCAAAGCCCCAGGGGCCCAGGGACCCTGGAAGCATGAACATGCTTAACCTCAGGTATGAATTTTGAACAAATTGTAGGAAAAGAAGGTGGCCCAGCTTCTGGGGTGATGCTGGTCCCCACTAGCAGAAATACCCCAAGGCCCTATTTTTCCTTCTTGCCATGAGGCTTCAAGAACCACTGTAAATGGGGCTTTCTTCAGGGAGAGGGGGACAACCTAAAGAAAATAAGCTGCACAGACAGGTGGCTCAGGTGACCTCCAGTGTGTCTGCGGGCATTGATGATGTTGACCCTCACCTTTGCACACCAACTGGTTCAAGCTTCCATGGACAATACATGCTGCTGGCAACAAGCGGTTTCTGGCACGGTTGATCCCTAAGCTGGCCCGTGCAGACAGAAAGAGGGACACCATACTTGCCCAGGAGAAAGCCAAGTGCCTTGAGTTCACAGGTGTCCTAGCAACTCACTCAGCGGAGCAGGGAGGAATATGAGCCTGGAATTACACAAAGCTCCAGAGCCAAGATTCCTAACTGACCCCACCTACACACAAACATACAACAAGGCTACTTGCTCTTGCCCACGCCCCTTCTAGAGAGTTCAGTGTGGCCAAGGCCCTATACGTGGTTAGCTAGGGCAACAGAAGACACCAGAGAGGGTATAGGGGTAGGAGTGGTCTTCTGCTGAAAACAGCTCTTCAGCCTCCCCAGGACCTCTGGACACCCAGAGTGGTGACCTTAGGCTGGCTCAGAAGCAGGTACTAGCTTGGAGTGCCCTGCAAGGCTGAGGAGAAACCCCAGGTTCACCTAAGAGTCGCCCCAAGTCTGCATGCAATTACTCTTTTAAACAGATGAACTTCAAAAAAAACCCCACAACCTCATAAATAACTCAAGTCCCTGAGAAATCATTTAAAGACTAATTAGTGTATCAGCCTGCTCTGAACGGCACTTCACAGCCCGTGCTCCCAAGTCAGGCATCAATTGAGAAGGAAATCATTAATTGCTTGCCTGAGCCAGGCAGGGGCCTACTTAACCACTCCTCCCCTGAGCCACCAAGGCCACTCCTGACCTCAGGTCCCAATTAATCTGAGAGGGAATGTGTTTAATTAATGCTACTTAATCACGCCTGTGGGGAGTTTTGTTTTGCTTTGTCTCTCTCTGCTTCATGTTCTTGAAAGGTTCTTTTTAAAGAGGCAGCCTATAGCTGAAGCCTGTGGGGATGTGCAGGTTTGGGAAAGGAGCTCGTTGGGAAAGGAAGCGTGGAACAGGCTGGGTGGACTGAATCCTCTGTTGGGCATTCTAGTGTTCAGGACAGTGACTTAAACCATCTGCTCCATCACCAGGGACTGGCCTTTCCCCCAACAGGAGGCCACAGTGGGCTGCCTCAGCACCAGGGCATCCCAGGAAATAGGAAGACTGCCAAAGTCTCCCAGATCTTTCCATCCTGCTCAAGGGCCTGTGGCCTTTGGGACCACATAAGGCCACCCCAACATCCTCAGGATGACATCTGCCCCAGAACCAGGGGGACATGCCTAGGCATGGGAGGCAGCATTACCGGACAAGCATCCGCTTCAACAGCTGCTGGTCCCCTTCTGAGTAGCCAGGCCAGTCCTTCTGCACGTCTTTATAGACACAGTCTTTCAACGTGCATGTGCCATCCTTGGCATTCACATTGGCCACCTGTAAGACATAGACAGGATCACCTTGCCAGAAGCCCAGGAGAGGCAGAAGTTACTGAAAGCATTTGATGGAGAGTGGGGGGATAGAGACACACAGGGCAAAGAGGACATCACCCTCTACCCCCGCCAAATCCACTGCACACTGGGGCAGCAAGCCTTGGGATGCAAAAGGATCAGAACACCACATCCTGATGCATATGTCTTATAGCTGCTGGCAGACAGGCTTGCTCCAAAGCGGGGGGGTAGGGGAGGGGGCAGGTGGTGGCGCCAGCTGCTGTCATCTATACTCCCAGGACCCCATCACCAGCCTCCCCTATTATGTACTGAATATTTTGAAATATTTCAACTGAAATTCATGTTAAATCTGAACACCCAAAATGATGGTATTGGGAGGTGGGGCCTCTGGGAGGTGATTAGGTCATGAGGATGGAGCAGTGTCCTGAATGTGAGCAGTGTCCCTGTAAGAGCCTCCAGGAGGCTCCCTCCTCACTCCTGCCATGTGACAACACATGGAGAAGACAGTCTATGAACCAGGAAAGGGGCCCTCACCAAACACCCAGTCTGCTGGTGCCTTGATCTTTGACTTTCCAGTCTCCAGAACCATGAAAAGCAAACATCTGTTGTTGATAAGCCAGCCAGTTTATGTAATTCTGTTATAGCACCCTTAACAGACTGACACCCCCCTCTCAGGTATGCACTCCTGTGGCAGAGATGGTGGAGGGTGGGGGAGCTGGGGCCGCTAGGGGCCAAGCTAGGTCCATCTTCCCTGAAAATAGTGAGTCCTACTCAGGCTGGTTAATGAAGGCTGAGCTTGTCTCCAAAACCACAAAGATGGACTCAGAACTTTGACCTTAAGGGTGCTTGAAGAAGTTCAGGCCCCGCTCCAAAGCGGGTGCTTTGGTGACTATCTCACTAGGCCTCTAGCACACGGCCGTGGAACATAGGCATGGCAACTGCTGGTCTTCACTGTCACAGGCTTCTGAAAGGGACTCCAGGCCATAAGAGTTTCTACAGGGAGCATTTTTAATGACCAAGTAACATTCCACCAAGCATCTGCACTGTGAGTTACTCAGATTTTTCCTTTGTTGGATGCAACACCATCTGCAGTTTCTCTGTAGCATGAACAGACACCACTGAGTGCAGGTTTTTCTATGCCGATGGTTTCCTTCGGCCAGCTTCCCAGAAGTGGGATGGGTGGGTCAAAGGCTCTGAACATTTTTATGGCTCTTGATGTATCTTGCTAAAATGCTCTCCAGAAGTGCAACCTACCCATCAACACTCCTACCCACAAAGAATGAGCCTACGGGTTTCTCTGAGGCCCTGCCAGCACCAGAGACAGATGCTTTGAATCTTTGCTTTGGATGTTTTCACAGAAGGAAAAGAGAAGGTGCCTTTGAGGAGTGTGGTTTTGTCTGTGCTGCTCATCGGAATCCCTGATTTCTCGGGGGAGGCTGGAAATGACCAGCCTAGACAAGGCCCAGCCCACAGTATCTCCCGAGACCTTTCCCTTCCTCAAGCTGATGGGGTCCTGCTACTGCCCACAACTGCCGGGGAGGACAAGCTGGTAGTAAATACACAAGCACAAAGCAGATGGGGCCACTCAGAAGAAATCAGAGTAGACATGGGAAGGACGTTCTGCCCACAGACACCAGATAAGCTTCCCCACAGGAGGCTGCTGAATCCGAATCAACCAGAGAAGCCAGAGCCCAGCACAGTGCCTCTTTGGTTCTGGGAAAGGGCTGGGAACGACAGCATCTCAGAGGTTAAAAAAGCAGGCACCCCTGGCAGAGCGACATCAGTACCAACAGATCCCCATTTCTTCGGAAAACTGAGCCTGGCGTTCCTGCTGCATTTGAGGATTGCTCAGAGGGTAAATCTCAGCTGTATCTGTGTGCTCGGTCAGCCAAGTTTCACATTCTGCATGAGGGGCTCATGTGCTTCTTCTTTATTCTGGGCACAAACAGGGCGAGAGAGGAAGGTGGGAGCAAGGGCATTTCCAAGAATGCCATGCTAGGAGCTGATAGTGGCCTGAATGGATAGCAGTATGTGCTGCAGGCACATCCAGCGGCAGGCCTCTGTCTTCAGTACTGGCTCACATCTAAAGACCCGGCATTTAGCCAGCCCTGCCTCATTCTCTCTGAGTTCCAGCCCAGGGGAAGGGTCTCTGCCGTGCTTCCCTTGAGTTCCCAAGGATAAGGTTGACGTCTGTGACTTTCCAAGGAAACAAGTCCCCTAGCAACATCATTCCTGGTTCTGGAGCTTTCTGGATGCTTTGGCAAGCCCCTCTGCCAAAAAAAAAAAACAAACAAAAAAAAAACACCACTTCTGAGCCATGAAGCTACATCTTCTAACAGGCCTTGAGCCAACTCCTAAGCTCAGAGGAAGAAACTGTGCAGCTTGGTCCTCACCTGCACAACCTGAGTGAGGGACAGTGGTTCAAGAGGTCAAATCCAGGGGTACCTCAGTGGCTCTTTTGGTCAGGCATCCAGCTCTTGATTTTGTCATGATCTCAGGGTCATGAGATTGAGCCCTGTGTCAGGTTCTGTGCTGGGTGTGGAACCTGCTTAGGATTCTCTCTCTCCCTCTGCCCCCCACCCCTGTGCTTGCACATGCATTCAAAATAAAAAAAATTTAAAAAAAAAATTTAAAGGCCAAACCCATACAGATTTTTCCTGGCAAGTGGAGCCCCCAAGGCCAGGGTCCCCATGACATAAGGGACAGCCAACTCTGTGGCTCAACCTCAGATACAACTACTGATTATCACAACATGTGTGTTTTGCACTGTCTGCGCGCCCAGAGTGTCTGAGGCGGGGTGCAAGAGGGGCAAGTGAGCTGGTAGACAGAACTGGAGGTTCGACCATACCTCTCCCGCAAGATGGGACTGTCCACAGCCAGCCATGTGAGCCTCACAGCAGGGCTCCAACGTATCTGCATGGCCCTGCTGACATGGCAAAGCCAGAAAAAGCTGCTCACCTTCCCAGGGTCCTTGAGTTCCCTCCAGGGGCTCGGGAGACAGGAAAGGGCCTAGGGAAAGCAGCCAGGCCTGCAGCTCTTGTTCTAAAGCCTGAACTGTTCCATAACAGGTTCCATCTGCTGACATCACATTCCCTCCAGCTCAGCCCTTGAGAGGTGCTGGAGTCAAGCCGCAGCCACACACAGAAGCCTGAGCGTCCAAAAGCAAAGCCCCTGCCCAGGGCCAGCGCTGGTGAGCGGCAGGAGGCCTTCCTGACCATGGAGCCTGAGCTCTTGCTCACTCACATATGTGTTGAGTGATTCTAAAATCCTTAGGCACCTGAAGTCTAGGATCCTCCGTGCTGTGCCTACTGCCTGTGTGTCAGCAGACAGTGAAGAGGAGGGTGTGACCTTACTCGGAGCCAATCTCATGGCCACTGGACAGCAACCACCATGGCTAGTGCCATGTCCGTGACACCCCTAAGCATGCCCTAACCCAGGAGGCCGAGGCTCTGAGGTAGGCTGAGAATCTTGGAAGAGATCCCCAGGAAGAGCCCTTCCCAGCCCACCCTGTATCCAGACCCTATGCAGAGGCTGACTAGACCCTCAACCTGGCCCCAGGCAAGAAGCACGAACCTGCTGGAGGAGGCCATCCAGCGCATCCTTGTCCGCCTGGGCCAGGCCATCCTTCTGTAACCGAAGCAAGAGCTCGGCCTTCCGGTAGGGCCTCAGCGCCAGGAGGTGCAGCACCCGGTCACGGAAAGGCCTCTGAGACACCCCGCTGCCCCCGCTAATGCCACCAACACTGTTCTTCTTGATGGCACTCGCCAGGTTGATGGGGGTTGCCCGCTTCCGGGAAGGCACAGCATCTGTAGCCCCCGGGGCTGGTTTCCGAAACTGAACCTTCTTACCTGCAACAAGAGTCAAGGCATTAGGGTTTTGAGGGGGGTGAGAGGGTGGCCTCTGTGTCTTTCTGCCTAGGGCTGATGCCAGGTTCTGAGCAAGTGCATGGATGCCCACTGAAGGCCCACAGCTCCAGGGAAGGCAGTTCAAGCCCTATCCAGCTTGGCCTGCTCGGTGGGGACCCAGGACAAGTGAGAGCACCAGGGCAGCCCCGGTGGCACAGTGGTTTAGCGCCGCCTGCAGCCTGGGGTATGATCCTGGAGACCTGGGATCGAGTCCCACGTCAGGCTCCCTGCATGGAGCCTACTTCTCCCTCTGCCTGTGTCTCTGGCCCTCTCTCTCTGTCTCTATGAATAAATAAAATCTTAAAAAAAAAAAAGTGAGAGCACCATCTGCTGACCATACACAGTTCATCAGGCGTTTGTGGGGCCTCTAGTGTCAGAAGGAGGAACTATAGGAAACAGAAGTGTGTTCAGAGCCTTCACAGACTTCAAGATTTCATCATGGGCAGCCCAACCACACCAGGAAAAGGGGCTGATAGTAAAAAGAGTGGGGTTCCTGAATGGTGAGAGGCAGGTGCCCCCAGAGCCTAAATATCACAGCATTGTGCTGTCCCCCCAGGATCCCCCATTCTCTTTTATGAAAAAGGATGAGTGAACAAAGGTATCGGACCACTTGGGCAGCTTCTTGGAGACCCCAGGTATGAGCAGCTCCCCAGCTCCAGCCCCGTCAAACGCTTCTCGAGCAGACATGGCTCAGAGTCCCAGGGGCAGCAGTCTGGAGCAAACAGACTCCAGCGCTGCTCTGGAGGGAGGGGCCTCCACTCGGAAACTGTTACTCCACCCTGGACAGCACCACTGCCACTGAGGAAACATGCACGGCCAAGTGAGGTCAGTGCATGCCTCCCATCCTTGGGCCAGAAAGCTCTCTGTGAGGACTTGTTTTTTTGTTTTTCTCTTGTCCCTTAAATCTCACTTGTCAAATTAACACAGGAAGAAGTGCTGTCAGAATCCTCAGGACCAGACTTTGTCTCCAGAAGACCAAGCTGATGGCTAATGCAAGGTCGAGGAGAAGCCTGACGCAGTGGGATATGCTCATTTGTGGCTTCACAGGCCAGGGCACAAGGGTTTCCACCAGAACCAAAACCCCCGCAACACTCTTGCTGTACCCAAAGTGGTATAAGAAACCACATTTTGACCTAATTTTTGGCCAAAGGACCAGAAATTTACTAAGATATATATGCATGTCCACACTTGCACCTTGAGGTGAGAACAAGGGAAGCATTTTTGGATTCTGGCTGCTGCCCTCGGGTGGCTCCATCCCCAGCAACAGCTCACAGCCCAGAGCACAGGCTCCCTCAGCATGCACAGCCACGTCCACCGGGACACAGCATTTACTGGCAAATGGACTCCTGCAATGACGTCTCGGTTTCGTTCAGAGCCAAGCCCACTGACAAGCCAGTGAAGTCACACATTCCTGGCTGGCGGGGGGGGTGGGGGGGTGGGTGGCACTTTGAAATCTTCCCACCTTTTCTTAAACAAGAAAAAAGGACCCAATGCCATCAAGGTCCTGGTTTGCTGTATGCCATTTTGTGCCTCTCTCACACCTAATACCCGGTCACACCCTTCCTCCTGGCCTTGAATCCTGATGACTCTTGAAATTATCTAGGCCTAGGTGCTGGGAGGACTAAAGCAGGAACGGAGCTTCCTACAAGTAAACACTTTTCATGTTGTTGGTGTCTCAACTTCACTAAAATTGTTTCCAAGCAGATGATTAGCTGCCAGAGCCTTCTCATCCAGCAGGGAGTCAACACATTTCCTTCCCAGTTGCAACCCGATGGCCCCTCATTGGCCCCAACCCAGCAGCAGGGCACTTGCCATAGAGTACATATCACCATCTGCATCTTGCCACTGACCATGTTGGTCTCGGGGAAGAGTCGACCAGGCAGGTGAGGGCAGGGGTGGCGGCTGGAGGAGGACAGACTGAAGCCCTGCTGTGGAGAAATGTGTCTATCTCCCTGATGGGTAGAGATTCCTGAGGCCAGATCCTAAGAGAGGGGCTCATGGATTTGGAATTCCTAGGGTTCTTGGGGCTCTTATTCAGACTGGAGAATTAACAGATGCCACAGCCCCTAGCCAACTCAGCCAGTGCAACAGGACCTTCCTTTCTGACCTGACAAACCATGTGGCTCACCCAGCTAGGGGCCGTACCTATCAACCCACCATTCCAGCTCTTGGCCGGGACAGGCCCTAAGTCCTTCCTGCTCCCCACCACAGCTGCCCAACAGTCATGAGCCCCCCGTAAGAGGAGTCCCAGGCCTCATCCTCACCTAGGTAGCGGCCTCCAGCCTTGATGACGATGGCACCACGGCTCCGTGTCTCCTCCTCAGCCTGTGCCATGCTCTGCCGTGCTTTCTGATAGGAGTCGTCAGTGGCACACACCGTGATTTTGTCCTGGATGCTGCCCAGGCAGTCCAGGTGAACATCCCCATGGCTGCAAGATAAGGGGCCAGGAGCCAAAGTGAACTCCTGGGATGACAAGGAGAGACGGTCTAGGAGCCCATGCCCTCCCCCCACCCCACTATCCCCAGCTGGGAAATGGGGTCACTGCTAACTTGAGCAGCTTGGTTTCCACACGACACATCTTGACCTGGAAGAAACAAGGGAACCCAGGCCCCTGGGCAGAGGCAGCAGGCCAGAACCTGCACCTGTGCCATGGACATGTGGAAAGCAGCAGCAAGGCTTGTGTAAAAGAAGGGGACACTGGGGTGGCCCAGCTGGCTCAGTCGGTACAGCATACGGCTCTTGATCTCATGGTCATGAGCAAGGCCTATGCTGGGTGTAGAGATTACTTAAATAAATAAATTTTTAAAAAAGAAGAAGAAATAGAAGGGGGCACTGGCCCGGGTGGGGCCTCACCTGGAGACATATTGCTGGATGCAGTCGAAGCTGCCCTGGGGGCTGTCACGGCCAATGTTGGAGAGGTAGAAGGAGAAAGTCCGTGCCTCTGTGGGGCAGTCAGGCTGGGGGATGGAGATGTGCTGCATGGAGAGTGGAGACATCACTGAGAGGTCCACAACACCATGGGATGGCCCACGCATTGGACCCTAGACCATCCCCACAGCTTGACACAATGAGAATGTGCAAGCACTTTCTAAGCAGCGATGGTACCTAGGCTTGAGGAGCATAGAACACCGAACACACACCTGGAAACAGGGACCCCACATTGATCTAGGCCAAGACCCAGTGTCCTACCCAGCAAATGGGGCAGATCTGGCCTGGGACATGCATGAAGATGAAATCACACAAGATGGGCATCAGGAGGGACACGTGGATGGCTCAGCAGTTGAGCATCTGCCTTTGGCTCAGGGCATGATCCTGGGGGTCCTGGATCAGGTCCCACATCAGGCTCCCTATGGGGAGCCTGCTTCTCCCTCTGCCTATGTTTCTGCCTCTCACTCTGTGTCTCTCATGAATAAATAAATAAAATATTCAAAATAAATAAAATTAGAAAAAAAAAGATGGGCATCAGGAGACATCACACACTTGCTCCCCTGTGGGATACAGACTCCACCTAAATGTCCACTCACTGTCCAGCAGCCAAGAACAAGGCAGGAGGGGGGTGAGGGGCTCACTGCTAACAAACCATGACACAGTTACATGTGACACAGGATGAATGTCTTGGTTAATGTAACCCTGACTTTGGACAGTGCCTCTGCAGAAGGGATGGAGAGCCTGGCTGGCAGACAAGATAGACAGCAATGCTCCAAGCCACAGTGCAGGGCTCAGCGCAGGTGGGAAAGCCTTGCCCCCAGAGGACACCGCAGGATTCCAGATCAAACCTCCCTAGGCTGAAGTCCTAGGGGCTATGGAGGAAGCTGGTAGGAAGATACAATGTTCTCGTGGCTGGGCCATGTCTGGAGTGCAGGATGGGCTTCTAGAACCCTCTGTCACCAGTGGTGACCCCTCATACAGTAATCCCTGGGTTTTGAGTGCAGGAGCTTACCACAGCTAGGCAGACACAGAAGGGGGACACAAGTGGTAAATGGAGGTTAAGGGGATGGGCAGGCCACCTTCAGGCCTCATCCCTGGGCTACCAAACCACCTCTGTATATCCAAGCACTGTATCCTCTCCAATGTTGTGAGGATGCCAACACCTCTCATCAGCACTGGATCGAACATGGTCCCAGCTGAGTTCTACCCCTGTCACAGCTACCCCTTTAGCTGTCACAGGTAAATTAGGGCAGTTCGGCCTGAGACTGAGGACACAGTGGCTCAGGCCACATGGAGGGACACTGCTCTCTTGACCAGGCTTCATGGCCTCCCTATCCTGCCCCTCAGGGTGGTAGGTGTGTGGATCCATAGGGAACCTGCATTTGCACCCAGCTGAAAGCTGGCCCCCAAACACTGAGTGACCCACTCAGCATACAGTCAGTCCCCACCCCAAGGAGAGTCATGGATGTGCACAGCGAGAGCCAACATGGCACAGAGTGGCTCCCAGATATGGCAGCTGAGCCCTGGCCTGCCCACACGTGACATCTCCCTGTCCAACACTTGTGGCCACCTGTGCTGTCCACTCAATCATTCTTGGATGTGACTTTCATTCCCCATCACAGAAGTAGCTGGAAACACGCTGCACAAGATGCCAAGGCCCAGGCTGCTAAGGGTCACTGCAGGAGACGTACCCAAAGCCAGAAACACACTGACGCAGTTGCCCAGAATGCAGCAGGAAGCTTGTGTGCCACAAAGCAAACCAAAAGCAGCTGCCAGTGGAGTCTGACACCTGCTGCCGTGGGGGGCTCTTTTTCCACCCTATCCCTGACCCTCTCCCTCATCCCACCTTGGCTCTTGTGGAGATGTGGCCTCCCCAGGCAGCATTTTCCACCTCAGTCTGCTCAGGACAGTGGCTGCCTCAAGGACAATGATGCTCACTGGGCTGTCACCCCTGAGAAGAGGGAAGGAGTTGAGGCCTGAGCCCCAAAGTGATTGTGCTTGCCTCTGGGCAGGGGCTATGGGAGGGGTCTTCACTGTGACCCCTTGACCCCATCTACACCTTTTCCACACAGGTGTGTCTGTCCACCTTCAAAATCCATTATGGAAGTGGGAGTTCCAGTGCAGAGCCCAGAGGTGGGCTTTTGTAGCTACTGGAGCCACAGGATGGTGGGAACCCAAGGCTTGAAACTGACTAATAGGGAAACAGGATGCTCTTCGTGACAGAGGAAGAGGTCTCTAGTATCCTTCAGGACAAAGTGGGGGGCACCTGAGTCGGGGAGGAAAGGAGGTAGAAGGGAGGTTTTCCAGGAGCCTGCTGTGACCCATTCTCTTGGTCCCAGCTCCTCCCCAGCACTACCATGGCCTGTAGAATCCTCTAGTTAACAGGCTGCTCTGCTGCTCCTTAACAACCCTTGTTATTGGTTACCAGTCACTAGGAACCAGGCAGGGAAATTAGCCAGATAGGGATGAATAGCCCAGGAATGCATGGCTTTCTGTGTGTCAGCAAAGAGCTTGGAACATGCTCCAGGATGTGGCCCGAAACTCGGCCCTACTCGGCCAGAGCATGTACCTTCTGGACCAAGTCTCAGCTGCCTAATGGGGGCCACCATGTGGTCCTCAGCTGGCCTAAGCATGTAGATTTGGGTGTGTCTGATGTCAGCCCTGACTCCAGGTTATGTCACTATAAACCTAATTAGGGTCTGTGTGCATAGACCTGAAGCACCAAACAGTTTTGTCCTTCCTGGGTAGCCCTGACTGCCTCTGAGGCCTGTGACGGGACACAGGTCCCTGGCTAGAGCCCCTCCCTTTGAAATCTGTCCCAAGCAGAGCCTGCCTCCTCCCCCCACCCATCTGCAGGGCCTCCTGTACAGTGTAGGTGCAGGTGGGGGCTGTGAAAAGACAAAGCAAGTCCTGGGGGAAAAAACTGGGGGTGGGGAGAGGAAGCACTTGATATTCTATTCAGGTAAGCATGAGGTAAACTGGCATACACAGGAACCCAAACACCAAATGCCCAGAGTCTTCTCTCTGGTCAGAGGAACTTCCAGTCCATACATTTCCTTAGCTATTTTCACTTCTCAAGGAAGCCTAAGAATAAACATATTCTGGGTAATGAGAACTACTATTGCTGAACTTGACTTCCAAGAGCAGAGCATCCTCTTTCACCCAGGGGCACTCCCTCAATACCAACCCAAGGGTGCATTCTAAGCTCTGCTTGCATTTCAAGAGCCACTTTCATGCTTTCACTCACCCAGGAAGCTCAGTAGAAGGAGGACACACCCGCCCCTCCTCCTGGAAATGGCTCCCAATTTCTGAAACCCCCACTTCAAAAATTTTCTAGACTGTTTCCAAATTGTCCCTGTTACAAACAACGCAGCTACAAGCACCCTAGTGGCTCAATCTTATTTATGTCCCTAACTGCTCCCGAAGAGATGACTCTTAGACACACAGAAACTGGTCAAACATCTCTGACCAGACCTGCCAAACCTCATTCTAGAAACTGTAGTGCAGGCTCCTGTTGCAGCACAGGGAAATGTGAAGACCCTAAGCAGCCCTGGATACTGACCCTACTTCTCTTTTTTCATCAACTGAAGAGTTTCAGGGTAGGGCTGGCCAGGTGGGGGTTTCTCTTTCCCTGCAGAGGCTTTTCGCCAGCTGTCAGAGGTTAACAACTTAGAAGTGACCCGTGGACAGCAGAGGGGCCCAGGTCTCAGCCAGCTCAGTATCTGAGAGAAGGCAGAGAATGCAAACAAACATGTACACAGCAAATGAAACAAAGATCAACATCTAGCTCTGGCACATGGCACCCTAGAGGCCGAATATGGCTCACAGGACAACTTGGCACATGCCGTTAGTCACTCCAAGGAACCCGCTAATACCATGGTCCAGCTGCATGCCACAACCTCCTTGGGCAGGCCTGGCTCTCATGGTGCTTGCAAGCACAGGCAGAGAGGTGGCCAGGCCAGATCAGACTCCCACCCCTGGCGGTGCTTAATGCTGAAGCCCTGTGCTGGCTGTGCACACCAAGGGGGAATGTGTACAAGGAGCTGAGTGAGCTCATTCTGGGCCACAAGACAGACAATGGTTCTCCTAAGGCCTCATTAACACACACACACACACACACACACACACACACACACACACACACGACCCTTGAGGCAGAGAGCTCATCCCCTGGGCAAGGAGACTGAGGGATGGTGAAAAGAACTGGCCAAGGTCCCCAAGCTAAGGAGCTGGCAGATGGGGTCTCAGTCTGTCAGCTTCATGGGCCTCTGAGAAAGAGTTCCTGTCAGCCTACAAAGAGCCAAATGTGGAATCAGCCCATGCACCATGAACACTGAAAGAGCCTGCCCAGCCCCACCCCCACTGACCTTCTACTCCTTCTCTGTCCAGCCTACCTCACCAGCTCCACCTCCAACCTCAGCTATGCACAAGCAGCTGAGTACCCAGTAGAAGTAGGAGGGGAGAGCCCAGGTGCCCTGCCTCCTCTGGCATCAGGCTGACTATGCAGATGCAGCCTGGCAAAGAGTGTCTGCTATGTGAGTAGAGCCAGGCCACGCTCCTCACAACTGGCAGGGATGAGGGGATGCATCCCATCAAAGCCCAGGAAGAGAAGAACAAGGTCCAGAGGACAAAGAGGGTAGATCTAGGGATCCCTGGGTGGCGCAGCGGTTTGGCACCTGCCTTTGGCCCAGGGCGCAATCCTGGAGACCCGGGATCGAATCCCACGTCGGGCTCCCAGTGCATGGAGCCTGCTTCTCCCTCTGCCTGTGTCTCTGCCTCTCTCTCTCTCTCTGTGACTATCATATATAAATAAAAAATTTTTAAAAAAAGAGGGTAGATCTAGTGCCTGACTCTTCACAGCAAGCAGAGAAAGAATAGCACCCCTCCTTGCCACCTGGCACCCTCTAACCCTCACACGGGCTTACACAGGGAATAGCCTCCTATGGAGAATCATGGTCTGACTTGCCTGGCCAGAACTCTGGCACAGGGCCTCAGTACCCTCAGAACCTTTAGGTTCTTCTGTTATACATGAGAAAATCCAGGAAGCAAAAAAAGGCAGGTAAAGCATGATTCTAAATTGAAGGTAGTAGGACCCTTAATTAAATGGATGTGGCTCTCAGGCTTTGCACAGAAATTTGGGCAATACAAGGCAGGGTCCGGGAGAACTCTGTGGTGCTTCTGTGGCTCCTGTGAGTGGCCAGGTGGTGTCTTTATGACTAGAAAATGCTGCTCACTAGATAAGCCATTGATCTCAGTGGCCCTTTGCATAGATCCACTTCCTCATCTTTCCCTGACCACTGAGGGCACAGCACGACCACTGGCCACCAGAGGGCGCCATGAGGCCAGTCTGGCAGCAAGACCAGGGAGCCCTGCCTTCAACACTGACCTCTGCCCCTGGGGAAACGTCCCAAGGAAGATAAAGGCAAGACTACCACAAGACTCAAAAGGAGCCTGACAGAGGTGCAGAGGTCCCAGAGGAGGCACTGGGGGAGCAGGGAGTCTGGGGCTTTTCAGGGGATCTTGCTGACCTTGACAGGTCTTAGTATGATGGTCAGTTCAGTTCATGTGTGCACCTGGCCAGGCCACAGCCCTAATGACGCCACGAATGCTAATCTGGATGGAGGTATTCTGTAGATGTGGTGACATCCATGATCAGCTGACTTTAAGAAAATGATCCTTAATGGTCTGAGTACAGCCTCATCCAATCAGCTGAAGGCCTTAGGAGGGAAACTTCAGTTTCCCTGAGGAAAAAGGAACCTCGCCTATGGACCACAATGCCCATTCCTGCCTGCCCCTGGATGGGCTTCAGCCTCATCAGCCCCACAACTGCGTGAGCCAATGCATTGCAATGTATCTCTTGGTATCTTTGCATTTGCACACACAGACACATGGATCCTCTAGAGGCTGTCTCTCTGGAGCACCCTGGCAGAGGTGAAACCCACAGACCTCCTCCATAAGGAGGCAAACGCCCAGCTGTCAGGTGGAAACTGACTCAGCCACTTGTGGCAACACTTCAGATTTAAAAAAAAAAAAAAAAGATTTGCAATATAAAGACCAGAAGAAAAAAAAAAAAACTGAAGCGTTCCAAGGCATGTTTGGTGGATGAGGGATATGGGGGCGGTGGGAGGTCCTAAGCCTTGGGGGGCAAGGATTGTGGACTTTTCCTTTTTCTTATTCTCTAATTTTTCTGGAAGATGATCATTTAGAATGAAATAAAGACGTTTCAGAAAACATGAAGTGGTGAGCTTCTATAACAAGCCCCTCCCCCCATCCAGCAGTCCAGTACCAAAATCAGACATCCATGGTCCCAGGTCCACCAACAAACCACCTCCAGGGGAGGCCATAGCTCTAGGCCTGCCTGGCCTCTGGGACACTTCAGTTTTGAATTAGCACAGAGATTAGATCAGAACAGAGATTTGGGGGCCTGAGAGTCAGCTATGCATTGGCTACAGGAAGGGAGGCTCTGCTGGACAGAAAAGTTGCATTTACCCCAGAGAGCCTCTTGATGTGGTCCCTGGCCATGGGACCAACCTAGCAGATCTTAGCTCGGCACAGTGCCTGGCCTGACACCGAGATGGATGGGACCAAAATGCTGCCTCTAGTCTGCTTCTGTGCCCAGCATACCATGACAGGCCAGAGAGAATACTGGTCACAATTCCAGATATGATTAAGACAAAAAAGACTCACCCCTTGACTTCCTTGAAATCGGATTGATGGTCTCAGTGAAACAGACTCCTGCAAAAAAAGCAAAATGGGAAAACGTCAATAAAGATATCTCGAAATCCAAACACTCACTTCCCAGTTATAGAAAGAGTAAGGTAAGAGTGTTTTTAGGAGAGGCGAGAGAAAACACACATACATCTGAAAATTACAGGAAAGGTCACTGGAACAAGATTTTGAAGGATCAGTAGTTCCTTGACGGCATGGAGGCCAGGTATAAAAGAGTTAAGAGTGGAGACACAGGAGATGACAGCCCCTCACTGTTCTCCCCAAACCAGTATCAGCCCAGACCGCCCTGCTTCGGAGATACCCCCTCAGAAGGGAATTGCAATGAATGAGTGCTGTTAGCCAGAAGGCAGGCTGATGAGGTGATCCCCACCCCCCAACCCCCACCAAACACCCTGCCAGGACAGGGCCCAAGGCCTGCTCAGCTCCCACGTCACAGTTTCAGAGCAGTTTGTCACTGAGCTTGGGGTGGCGGAATTTCCAAATGTCACAAGAAAAAATATACTTAAAAACTCAAAATACTTTAAGCTTCAGCTATTCAGAGATCAGCCTTCTGTCAGAATTTTAGAAAGAACATGAATCCAGATGGAGGGTCGCACCTCTTCTTCTCACCCATCTTGGGCCCCGAGCACCCATCTTCTGTACAGCACATATCACCCCCCAGCATGGTCCTAGTTTGTCACCACAACCTCCTCCCTCAGCCCCCAAACCTGCCTTGCTTCTGTGCCCACTGTCCTCCCCAGCCTCCTCCAGATGGCAGCCAGGGTCTGGCTCTCCTACCTCCCTCAGAGCCTGTCCTCAGGCCTGCACTTCAGCCCCATCTGCAGTGAGAAGAGGCCTTCTCGCTGGCCCCCCACATCCCAGACACCAGGTATCTGGAGTGACTACCTGTCTGCTCCCCACCCAGACCGTCAGGTCCACCACAGGCCCCGCATGGGTGAAGCAGCTCTCTAGACTCATGAGACGAACCAGCCAACCGGCAGGTTGGCCTCATGGTGTGCATGGGTCCATTAGTCGCTCAGATGAGGGCTGTGGCTGTATGAGGCAGACATGGCTCAGCCAGCTGGGACCACACAAGCCACGCATGAATTCTCCCCCCACTACACATGTACACTTTGTTTACCAGGAGCCCTCTCTTTTGCCAAAAATCTCAAGGACTCTGTCATCTGGAGCAGTTTGTCAGTGAACTTGGGGCAACAGAATTTCCAAACATCCTGAGAGATTACACCTAGCACTAGCACTTACCCCATAAGATCTGATGCCCTAGAAACCACCCTACACTTCCAAAGCACATCACCTCTCACTCCCAGGCCATTGGACATGGGGCATCCTCCAGCCCCCTGTCCTCCTCCAGGACCAGAAACCAGCCTCTGCCGGCACAAGGGTTGCTGTGCTTCAGAGACAGGGGCCAGACTTTCCCCAAAGCAGACTCAGGACCAGCTGACCCATCCTATAAGCCACAACCAGACAGCATCCACCGCCACCCCCCGGGCTTCACTGACATTCACAGAATGATAAACGTGGCACCTATGGGGTCCTTGGCCTGGCTAGGTCCTTGGAGACACAACATTTAAGCAGTTTTTGCTTGGGACTGGGTTAAAGACAGAGACTAAAAAGAAAACCTGCAAGGTGGCAAATGAGTGTGTGAAAAGCCACTATTCATCATCAGCGAAGGGCAGATATCCCAGGGTGATAACATGCATCTATCAGGACGGCTAAAACAAAAAGGACAACACCCAACACATTGGTGGGAGCGCACACGGCAGAGCCACTGTGGAAAACAATCTGGTAGTTTCTAAAAAGGTTAAACACAATTTACCACATGACCCAGCATTTCCACTCCAAGGGACAGACCCAAGAGAATTGAAAATACGGGTCTACACAAAAACTTACGTAAAATGTGCACAGCAGAATTACTCTTAGTATTCAAAAGGCAGCAACAACTCAAACGTCCATTAATTGGTGGACAAAGTAACAACAGAATACTACTCAGAAATAAAAAGGAACAAATTCCTGATGGACACAACAGGGGACAAATCTCAAAGCCACTGGCTAAGAGCACCTCAACATAGGACATCCTGCATTATATGATCTGTTCATATAAATTTTCAGAAAATGCAAAAGTAAAGAGACAGAAAGCAGATCAGTGAGTGCTTAGGCTGTGGATGGGAGTGGGCAGTGGCTGCAGGTAGCTTCTAGGGCACTGTATTAACATTCACAGACTCTACACCTAAAACAGTAAGTTCTATGGGCCATCAACACACCTCCGTAACAGCTGTGACACACTCTCAAGTTCACAGAGGGCCTTTCTCTGAAGACTCCTGGCTTTTACCAATATCATCTGAACACAGAAGATTCCTGAACACCCAGGGGAGATATTCCAGTCTGTTAAACATTTTCAGCACAGGATATAGAGTAGATGGAAGGAAACAGCAAAAGACACAGGAACACCACAGCAAAGGCAATGCAGTCCTATGAACTCTCTACTGACCTCACCTGATCATTAAAGGCAGGCAGGCAGGCTGCTCCTGGCAGAGGGAACAGCAGGTACAAAGCCCAGAGTAGAGACATGGGATGCCACAGTGGCAGAGGGCACCTGGGGCTTACTTCTTGCACCCTCCAGGTCTGTTAGCTCAGACCCCCACCTAGGAGCCAGCCTGGGGCTAACTCTAGCACTATGTGCTTCTACTATCAACACAGTGCAAGGCCTGTGTGTTCCAAGGCTGGGGGAAGGGGTGATGACAATGGTGACAATGCAAGTCTGGATTTAGAGTAATAATGGGGGGGAAGCAGAAAGGGTGCATTTCCCCAGAAGGCACCAGGGCAGCCACAATAGTGCCTGGATGACAACCACCAGCGCCCACACCAGCTGGCGTAGTGGGCCAACCTCCCCTGGTCCACATGCTCCCTGTAGGCCATTTTGTGAAGCATTTAACTAGCCTGGTAGCTGTCAAGCAAGTTACCTAGAAGATTCCTTTCCTGCAGTCACCCACTTTCCAAGGGCAGTGGACTTTACCCATTAGAGCATTTGGCAGAGAAGCCTAAAAACCCAGGCTTTCTCAACAATGCCAAATGCATGTTCCCATATGGCCTGGCTATAATCACAAAACCAGGCTCCTGGCTATACAAGTTCTCCTGGTGTGTCCTCCCTCTAGCAGGAGAACCTCTGCCCTCAGCAGAGCAATACACTTCTATCACATACATACTTGGGTGATTCCCCACAAAACCCCTGTCTATAGCCACTAACAAAAACAGACACCAGGACCAGACCCATCTAAGTACTGCCAGCTCTGTGCAGGCAGCAGAGGGCAAGGGGCCCCACTTGGTAAGACATCAGAACAAAGAGAATAGCAGCCCTCAGTGCCCTCAGACTCACTAGACAACAAGGTGTGTTCTAATGACATTCAGGTCACGCCACCCAACCTTGGACAGCCAGTCACGGTCATTGCCACATTCACAGGCCCAGCAGAACCTAACCCTGGTCATCTGTGTTACTAAGGCTGCATAAGTCAACTGTGGCTCTTGCCCATCAGCTCCTCCACCCCAGGGCAGGCTGCCTTGACCTTTTGTGCAGACTTTTCGACACTGGGCACCTGCTCACCACTGTGCCCCTACACCCCTTAAGATTTCTAGGAGGGACCATGGGTGCCAGCTGGGTCACCTCTCCAAGGGCTACAGGAATCTGATGTAGAGTGTCCTGCACAATGGCATGTGACCATCCCACCTGCCACAAATTCCCAGATAAGAGACCCAGCAACATTTTAATGAAGCATACAGAATTAAAATCATTATAAGAAGGTTTAAGAGAAATTTCTGAAGGGTTCTAAAATGTACTGAAACCACTTGTGTATCTCCAGCATCCACTAGAGTGGTCTTTGGCACACACTGTTTAGTTGGGGGCGGGGGTGCTACTTGCAATGGAAATCTGTTTTTAGACCAAAGTGAGGTTTTTATTTTTCTAAACATAAGTTCTCAGCTATTTACTGTAAAGTAAATTTGAATGACTCAAAATGCATCAAGCTTGTCACCTCCAAGAACCAACTGGAATAAAGCTAGCTGAATAATTCACCAATTCTTAACCTTTCCTGAGTCCAGGAGGTTAGGTTCAGGGTGGGGCAGGCAGGCTAAGGGGAATCCCAAATGCCATGGGCCCCTGTGGCAGCCTCTGACCACTCAGCTTACTGCCTCAAGAAACTTTCCAGATCACGGGCTGGGGAGGCAGAAGGGACTGGATGTGTGGGCAGAGGCCCCTGGAGTAGGGGGCAGTGCAGAAGACTCTCCTGGAATCCTCAAAGCGGACTAAACTGCTCCCCTTGAAGGCTCGGGGGCACTCCTTGACCCAGGGCCCCAAGACAGAGGATGTGGCCTGAGAGATGCCATATATGGCCAGTCCAAGGGAGTCCTCACTGTACCCCACTCAGCAGTGGAGCTAAACTAGCCCTCAAGTAAAGGTTTCTCTCAGTTCCTTTTACTAAAAAAAAAATCTCAGAAACAAGCTTCCGCAGGATCAGCTGATCCACCACTCACCAAACTGCCTGCCAGCAGCCAGCAGCAGAAGTGACACACTTCAAGAAAGATAACAAAATCCACCACACAACCCCATGGAATTCACAACACTTGGTATCCAAAACCAGAAACCTCCAGACAATGTGAAGCTATAGGAAAATGTGACCCCCCCCAACCCAGAAGAAAATTCAGCCAATGAAAACAGACTCACGAAGGACAGAGACAACGTAACTGACAGACAAGGGCCTCACATTAGAGCAACTATTACATATGAAAAATGTTCAAGGGCTTAAAAGAAACTTGAACTGGTGAGAAGAGAAATATGAGGTAGGAGGAAAGAGCCACATGGAATTTCTGGAGCTGAGAAATGTAATATCTGGAAAGGAAAACTCTCGAAGTGGGATAAATATGGGACAATGTGGAAGAAAAGGTGATGAACCTGATGACAAACTACCAGAAACTATCCAAAATGAATCATACACAGAAAAGAGTCTACAGAAAAA